TAATCCACCAACTCTACCCGTAATCCACCAACTCTACTGCTGAGTCCCATAATCCACCAACTCTACTACTGACCCCATGATCCACCGACTCCCCTATGATCAAATGCAAGAAGCTACCTGTTATTCCTCCATTAGTTCCACTCTCAGCGTTATGACAGGGTTTTAACTTCAGCAAACTCCGTCAACTGTAACTCCTGTTATCATCAGAGGCGTAGCGACCCTTCCCGGCGCCCGGGGACATACTTTCAATTTGGCGCCCCCCCTAAGGTCGGCGCCCGGGGACATATGTCCCCCCCCCGCCCCCCCCCCCCTCGCTACGCTACTGGTTATCATCACTAATTGTTAAAGAATTTGTTGAAACTTTTAGATTTGATGATTGCATTTTTTTCCAACTTTATTTATTTAAAAAATTAATTACGTTATCTTTTATAAATAACGATTTATTTTCTTACAGAACATGTAAGAACAGGTGTGCTTACATCTCGCGTTACGTGTTTATTAACAAGTTATTTATTTGCTTACATCTCCTTATTTTGTTTATATGTCGAGTGATCCTTTTGTATAGGCCATAATATTCTTTCTGCCTAATCTGAAACATTTACTTTATGGCACTTAGTACGTCAAGGTGCTAAAACCACATATTAAACCCACAAGAAGTAATTAGCTGTCGTGGAAGATCCCTTGTTCCCAGTCATTTTCTTCTCTTTCTCAATGCTATTATCTAAGCAAAACGTTACTTTCGCGTGTAAATAACGTTTGATACAGCTGCACCATAAATATAAAAGTATGCAAGCAGATTCATAAACTTGAAATGTTTCTGTGACTTAATAGCTATAACAAATTAAAGGCTTTCAGTGTGTTCTGATTGCATACACTATCGCTGCCCCCATAACCGAGAACAGCCCAGTACAAACGTGACAGGGTCCGTTGTTTGTAGGGAGAAAATAATTTTCACGTGAATTAGAGAACACCATTAAGTGCCGGCGTGTTACCGTGTTGGTCAACACATCGCCGGAGTTCCGGTTAGACCAGTCGGCACGGAGCACGGAGGTGCCGGGGATAACGGCCGGCACTAGTCGCAGGTGCCGGTTGCCGTGCGATTGACTTCTGGCATGCGATAGAGCGGTTGAAAAGTGTGAAGGGACGGTAAAAACATCGTCAAGCTCCGTGTAGTGAAGGTCTTTAGGTCAAAGGTCTTTTGGTGCGTTCTCGTTAGTTGTAGGTCGTTGAGTCGATTGTGTCATTTGATGTTAATGTTAGGGCCAAATGTGTCATTTGGTGCGTTCTCTTTGAAGTTTTAGGATTAAATGTCATTTGAGGTTTACTCTGTTAAAGGTCTTTGTATTATATATATATATATATATATATTACTCGGTGTGTACTATTCTGTTGAAGGTCTTCATATCAATTATGTCATTTAGTGTCACTTGGAGTAAGTTCTTCTGCTAAAGGTCTTTAGGTCATAAAACATATAATTTGGTGTATTTACGTTCAAGGTTTTGTTTCAATTATGTCATTTGGAATGTGCTCTCCTGTTGAAGGTTTTTATATCAATTATGTCATTTGAAGTCTGCTCGTTTATTGATCTAAGGTGTCATACGTGTCTGCTTATTCGGTGAAGGTCTTTAGGTCTGTCATTTGTAGTGTTCTGTATTAAATTAAGGACTTGAGATACCCAAATACTTTGGTTTCTTTTTCTCCAGAGAAACAACAGTACTAAACAAATAGTTAGTTATGATTATTTTATAACCTAATCGTGATTCAACTGTGATGGAATGGAAATACAATTTCTGGAGTTCAAATTGCTTCGTTATAAATCTATCCACTTATATGTCTTGGTGAAATTAATTTAATGTGTTGCTTTCGCCAATAGAAATGTCAATCACACTTTAGAACAGACGGTCGGAACAGGTAGATGAAGTAGAGCTCATCTGTTTCTTTTATCTCAGAATGTAGTAAGATAGTATGATCAGCAGTATACCTAGTCGCGTAGACTTCCCCCGATTCACTAGGTTACCGTTAGAGCTTAGTGGACTCAGGGACGCCCTACGGTCTAAAGCCCATGAATCTAACTCGAAAAGGCAGTCAGCCATTGTAGCTGTCATCCGAATATGCCACCTTAGCGCTGCTGTCATTCAATCATCAACATACAGTTGAGGTCACCAAACTGTTGAGGTCACCAAACTGTTGAGGTCACCAAACTGTTGAGGTCACCAAACTGTTGAGGTCACCAAACTGTTGAGGTCACCAAACTGTTGAGGTCACCAAACTGTTGAGGTCACCAAACTGTTGAGGTCACCAAACTGTTGAGGTCACCAAACTGTTGAGGTCACCAAACTGACATCTGGCAACTGCCCCCTGAACAATGACGTCATACAACAATCCGCCATACTTCTCTCACCGATTCTCTCTTCACGACCTTCTTTCAACTGTCCACAAGAATCTAAGGTCAAGGGTTAAATGTCACTCAACACGTGACCTCATTTGACCTCTCCCATTCGAGCAGGTGACAGGTGATTGGCAGCTGACCAGATACAAGTCTGGCCAACATTAGCAGGAATACAGTTAACCCTCTAGCTCCCATACAACAAGGACATCCTACATTCACACGGTCCACACAATACAGTTAACCCTCTAGCTCCCATTTCTACAAGGACACCTCACATGTACCGCGCCATACAGTTAACCCTCTAGCTCCCATACAGTTAACCCCATAGTTCCCACACAACAAGGACACCTCACATGTACCGCGCCATACAGTTAACCCTCTAGCTCCCATACAGTTAACCCCATAGCTCCCACACAACAAGGACACCTCACATGTACCGCGCCATACAGTTAACCCTCTAGCTCCCATACAGTTAACCCTCTAGCTCCCATACAGTTAACCCATAGCTCCCATACAGTTAACCCTCTAGCTCCCATACAGTTAACCCTCTAGCTCCCATACAGTTAACCCTCTAGCTCCCATACAGTTAACCCATAGCTCCCATACAGTTAACCCTCTAGCTCCCATACAGTTAACCCTCTAGCTCCCATACAGTTAACCCTCTAGCTCCCATACAGTTAACCCTCTAGCTCCCATACAGTTAACCCTCTAGCTCCCATACAGTTAACCCATAGCTCCCATACAGTTAACCCTCTAGCTCCCATACAGTTAACCCATAGCTCCCATACAGTTAACCCTCTAGCTCCCATACAGTTAACCTCTAGCTCCCATACAGTTAACCCTCTAGCTCCCATACAGTTAACCCTCTAGCTCCCATACAGTTAACCCATAGCTCCCATACAGTTAACCCTCTAGCTCCCATACAGTTAACCCTCTAGCTCCTATACAACAAGGACATCCTATATTCACACGGTCCACACAATACAGTTAACCCTCTAGCTCCCATACAGTTAACCCATAGCTCCTATACAACAAGGACATCCTATATTCACACGGTCCACACAATACAGTTAACCCTCTAGCTCCCATACAACAAGGACACCTCACATGTACCACGCCATACAGTTAACCCTCTAGCTCCCATACAGTTAACCCTCTAGCTCCCATACAGTTAACCCTCTAGCTCCCATACAGTTAACCCTCTAGCTCCCATACAGTTAACCCTCTAGCTCCTATACAACAAGGACATCCTATATTCACACGGTCCACACAATACAGTTAACCCTCTAGCTCCCATACAACAAGGACACCTCACATGTACCACGATACAGTTAACCCTCTAGCTCCCATACAGTTAACCCTCTAGCTCCCATACAGTTAACCCTCTAGCTCCTATACAACAAGGACATCCTATATTCACACGGTCCACTCAATACAGTTAACCCTCTAGCTCCCATTTCTACAAGGACACCTCACATGTACCCCCCCCCCATACAGTTAACCCTCTAGATCCCATACAACAATGACACCTCATAAGTAAACAATTAACCCTATAGCTCCCAAATAACAAGAACACCTCACATGTACCCCCCCCCCCCATACAGTTAACCCTATAGCTCCTATACAACAAGGACATCCTACATTCACACGTCCGAAACAAGACAGTTAACTCTATATAACCCACACAACATCCTATATGTATAAATTAACTTAACCAACTCCCCTCCCTCGCATATACGTGGTTTGAAGATTCAGAATTATGTGACTTAACAAAACTGTAAACAACCAATTACTTTAAAGACGAACATTGTGCTTCTTTTCACATCAATGAGAGGGTGTCTCTCTGTCTCTCTGTGTGGAAACTTTACCTAGAGGTGGAGAGAAAATTGACAAAAACAAAAAAACAAATGAAAACAAATATATGCAGAAAGAAATTTGTAAATCATTTTAAACAATTACATTGTTGCACCTGCATAATCATTATAAAACGATGATTCTAATTTATAAATATCCAGCAATTGGATGTTTAGATTTTAAAATTTTTTTTTTTTGCTTCTTGTCGAAATTGTTTGAAGTTAACTTTTGATAGTTAAAAACCTTAAGGGCTATGGTTTTGCTTTTAGATACAATGCGGTAATCCAGCCAGATCAAATACTATTATCTGTTTAAGATACACTCATATGTCTGTAGCTGTGTCGATATATAACTTACTTCTCTTTTAAATAACAGCTGTATTTATTATCTAGTTATTCATTTGTTATCTATCTCTGCCTCTCTCACTATCTCAGTCTCTCTTTCGATCTTTCTGTCTCCCACATAGACATACGACACATAATATTCATCGAACACTTGTTACTATTTACATTAAACAAGTACTGTTGTAAGTTTAAGCCTTTTGTTAAATCTGTCAGTTTATTTAGTCTCTAGTGCAGCATTAGAATTAGCCCAAGTATTTCAGGTTATAACTATGTTTGTTTACAAGGCGATGTCTTCTTTTGGATGAATAAAATAATTTTTTTAAATGGGCTAAAAGATATGGGTCCGTTCACCTAAACTGTTTATTTGTGTTAAACTTGTGAAAACAAAATGACCTTGACCTTTCCACCCGCAGGTGCTGTTTACGTTTGTCTGGCTTCTCCTGGAGCCCCCGGGCACACGCCTTGTGTACCCCGACACCCGGGAGCCGGTGGTCATCCGGAAATGCCAGAGCGACGACATCTCGTTCCTGATCTCGCTTGTCTACAACATGTTGCTGATCATCATCTGCACCGTGTACGCCGTCAAGACGAGGAAAATTCCAGAAAACTTCAACGAATCAAAATTCATCGGCTTCTCCATGTACACCACCTGCATCATCTGGCTAGCCTTTGTGCCTATCTATTTTGGTACCTTACATTCGTTTAGGGTGAGTACCATGGCTAGCCTTTGTGTCTATCTATTTTGGTACCTTACATTCGTTTAGGGTGAGTACCCTGGCTAGCCTTTGTGCCTATCTATTTTGGTACCTTTCATTCGTTTAGGGTGAGTACCATGGCTAGCCTTTGTGTCTATCTATTTTGGTACCTTACATTCGTTTAGGGTGAGTACCCTGGCTAGCCTTTGTGCCTATCTATTTTGGTACCTTTCATTCGTTTAGGGTGAGTACCATATTGTTCAGGGTGAGTGCGATATGATTTTGGATAAGTACGATGTTGTTTTGGGTGAGTACAATATTGTTTATGTGTGAATACGATATTTTAGGGTGAGTACGATAGTTTAGGGGAGTATGCTATTATTTAGGGTGAGTACGATACTGTTTTGGGTGAGTACGATATTGTTTTGGATGAGTAAGATATTTTAAACGGTGAGTACTATATTGCTTGGGGTGATATTATTTTGGGTGACTACGATATTATTCAGTTTTAAAGTTAGGTATAAAACTCTAGCACCACAACCAGTTTCATACAGTTTTCTGTACATTTGTTATCTCACCCTAAATGGATATATATATATATATATATATATATATATATATATATAAATTTTCGTTGGAAATCAGAGATAAATAAAGAAATACACTTTACATTCTAAGATAAATTCTCAGATATTGAAAAATAATATATACATTGCATAGGCTTGATTGCTTAGAAGAGGAGTGATCTCCAACGTATGTGAAATGGTTATGAGACTACGTGCACAAGATTATGTGCGTCTTACGTAAGGTTCCTAATGAACAGCGAGCCTGTAAGGTTATGTGACAGGTTTGAAGGAAATTTTCTGTTGATGACGTCGCTGCAAAAAGAAATGGTTGACAATCCCTGCCCTAATTACGGACCAGCACCAAAAAAATTGGACATCAGGTCATGCCCGCCTACACACCTACACAAGATTCCATTCCTGGGTGGGCCATCAAACTTCTGACAGCCAGCAAAGCTTCCAGAAGCTTCCAGAACCTGCAGCCTAACCTGGCATTCACCAGCCGGAGACCCGGGCATCAGGGTAGAGGACAGCTCGGCCAATCAGTGTCAGGATGATGACGGACTGCGCTTTTTTGTTTCATTAGTTTGTTGTCATTAAAATTTGATAATCACACAATCGGATTATCTAATCACCAGGAGAAATGAGCTACTTCTCTTAATGAGCGGAAAACGATAATCACCCGGCTAAAAATTGGATTTAGAAAGGATGGGGAAAGAAGGAAGATCGTTTAGAATATTATTATAGGTTCAGCATCCTCATATAAATACGTATAAACATATAAATAAATAAATATATTATTATATGTATAAATGTGTATAAATTTTTATATATATATATATATATATATATATATATATATATATATATATATATATATATATATATATATATATAAAGAGAGAGTGAGAGACAGAGAGATACTTATTATACACTTGTGTTTGTCAAATGAGGCTCTGCTATTGCATGCAACAATTCTAAAGCAAAAATACAGATGTATCAGTTGAAGGTGGTGACTTTATGGGCTATAAAACTATTGGATTAATGTAGTCTCCGTGATATAAAACTGTATTCGTTATTAAAACAGTTTAAAGTCACAAAGACTGAATTTCTGCATATACTTTAAATACATTATTTTATTAGTTTGAATGAGAACTTGCAGTATTATAGAAATCTTAAATTATTTTTTAACTTAAGACTAAAAGTACCGTAAAAGTTTAAATTATGTATTTATTCATTTTTTTAAATAGAGATTCTAAATCATACATTTATTTTATATGGGATGAATGCTTACACTATAAACCACAAAACTATTATTTTAATCAAGATTTACCGTTCTGAGGACACCTTAAATTATACGTAAATTATTGTTTAAACGAAGGCTTACAGTAATGTGGAAACCTTAACGCTTAAGTTAAATGATAAGCTAAATCAAGATGGACGGCCCAACTTATCTCATAAGTGTGTAGCCTACCTTTCACTGAATGAATCTTCTCCATTCATGACATACCCGTTCATTAACCTTTAATTAGAGCGTCATTTGGCTGAAGTAATTCCAATTACACAAAGTTAATTTGGAGAAATCGGCTGCACATGTACCAGCAGTGAAGTGTATGAACCAATTGATCTGTCACTCTAGTATAAGGCCTGGTGTTAGGCTGTTTTGTTGTGGACAGCAGAACATCGGTTTGCCTTAAAATTACACTCACACAAAATTAAACAGATGCGGGATACGTTTAGTGCTATGTGTGAAAGGGAAGGTGGTGAGGTGATTTTAATGAATAGAGGTTGCAACTTAGTAATGTTAAGTGTGGCGCACTACATTTAATCACGGATAGCCCATGGGAAGCACAAGGATGCAACTACCCCGCTCCAGAATGGCACTCTCTTGAGTTCAGCCCATATCAGTCCTGCATCCCTTGCTTCTCTTTCCCCAGTCCTTCTGTTGTTTCCTTATAGTTTTGATACCCCAGGTCCACATCTGGGATCGTTTTGAGAGTCAGGAGTTTGGTCATAAGGCGTCTCGGAGGCTTTCACTAATATGTCAGCGACTCTGCTAAATAGGAACCTTCTCGGCCAAGTTGATATTGGGTTGGTGTATTTCGTTTCTGTGGCTTTTTCAACCAGATACGGGACCCACTTTGGCGGGGGTTAAAGTTACGTGTAGTGATGAGTTAGTGTTTTAAAAAGTATTTGGGGGGGGGGGGGGGGTAAACATGGTCAACGCAATGTATCTTGGGCACAAAATGGAAAAGATGAAACTGGTTAAGTTAATTAATGGTTTGTTATGAGGTTACACGTATTTTTTTTTAATGTTTAATCTAGTTCAAATACTAATATTTTAGAAGTATAACCTTAGTATTTGTATTTTTATTTTATTTTGGTTTAGGTCCAGGTTTATTATTATGGCTAAACTGCTGGCATTTATTTGTTGTTTCTAAAAAGTTTATGCAGGTCCAAGCAAGATTTATTGCGTGTTTTTTTTTAAAGTTTCTTAAAGCTTGAAGCCTGTCCATGCATACGATGAATGGTGTTTATGATGTAGGTACAGCCCATAGACAGTCGATTCACCAGATCGATTTTGTTTCCCACTGTGAGGGAGCGCATAAATATCACGCGCTTTTTACACGTGACGAGTATCAATGCAATTTGACGTCATCCGAATGAGCGTGCAGAAAAATAAAAAAATAAAAACAGACAAAAAATAAAATTAAAATAAAAATTAACCAAATTATTTTTTGTGTGAAACAAAAGCACCGTCTGGAAGATAGGAAGCGGGTTCCGCTTTTATCTGAGCAGATACACTTCCTGTGATTTTTTTACTCTACATACTTCAAAGAGTTTACCTTGCGCGTTTTTAATCAATACATTATCGCTCCTAGTCAGTACATTTTAACTCGTAACATTCAACAGCAAAAGAATGTCACATTTTAAAAGAAATCGCCCCAACAGAAATGAATTAGGTAAAGTTAAAATACTTTTACCACAAATCCCCTAGCTGAACTCAATTTTGATCATCAACAAATCAATATTAGTTGAATACATAGAGGCCTACCCTATTGAAAATCGTATGTTTACATAACACCACGAAAGTATATGGCCGTGTGAAAGCTTTAAGCCGACATGTTTTCTTTCAAAGCCCTCGCTCTTATCTGAGTTTACATTCTACGAAATTATTTTAATCTGCTAAACTTTATTATAGCTAATGCATATTCAAAGATAGACGTAATTACGTTAAACAAAAACCTTTTACAATTATTATGAATTTTTAATATGTTTTTATAGGGCACTAATCATTATTTATAAAAAAATAACAAAAATGTATATAAACATGAGTAGGATAAATTTTCTATTTCAGCCTTCAGAGAGAGTTTTTTTTTAATAATGTGATCCGTACTTTCGGAGTGACGTCAATAAAAATCAGACGTTCTTATATTTTTTTTAAATTAACCATTTTCGTGTTACAGTTTTAGTAATAATGTATGTCATAAGTTTACACCCACACATCCCCACCCACTTTCATCAATTTAAATATCAAGTAAAAAAATAGATCAAATGAAATTGTTTTGATAAAATCTATAGCATATAGGGCCTGCTAAAGATGGAATTCGTACAAGTCTAACACAGTTTAAAAACAGCTGGAGCTTAAATATTAAAGAAAAAATGACACTTATGGGATTCCATAGAACCAGCTGTGAAACAGTAGGAGAGTATTTCTTTCCTGGAACATAGACAAACCTCGGCGGTGTCCTTCTGGATGACGTCAGGTCGATAGATCTGGTGCAATTTATGAGCACCCTGTGCCTGGGGTATCTGAGGGTGACGGGGACGACAGGCAGGGGAAATAACTGAGTCGGGAGACGAGGGATTCAGGGGAGAGAACCGGCTGATGTGCTGTTGTTGTTTGGTGGGTTTGTTGTTGGTTGTTGGTCGGTGGCTTTATCATGGTTAATGTATAGGTCGGGGTGGGGTAGGTGTGACATTAGGGGGAATGTCGTTTAGGTGGTGGGGCGGTTGAGGATGTGGGGTGGTTTAGGGTGAGGGGTGGTTTAGGGTGAGGGGTGGTTTAGGTGGTGGGGTGTAGGGGTGGTTTAGGGTGAGGGGTGGTTTAGGTGGAGGGGTGTAGGGGTGGTTTAGGGTGAGGGGTGGTTTAGGTGGAGGGGTGGTTGAGGATGTGGGGTGGTATAGGGTGAGGGGTGGTTTAGGTGGAGGGGTGGTTTAGGTGGAGGGGTGGTTCGGGTAAGGGAGGTTTCAATTAAGGGAATGGAACTTTAGAAGGAGAGGTAATATAGGGGGATGGGTTGACCTGTTGTGTTGACCTAATGTTTTGACCTACGTATGTGTGGAATTAATGACTATCTTAAATGTGATGACCTATACAGACCTAATATGTTGACCTCAGTCTCTTGACACAAATAATCAACCTGCTGTTGACCTAATGTTTTGACCTATGTATATGTGGACTTAATGCACTGGTCTATATGTGATGACCTATATTGAATGACCCATGTGTGCTGATTAAGTTTACTGACCTTATTTAAAAAAAAGAACTGACTACTAATTACTGAACAACTAGATATAGAATCGGGTGGACGGGGGAAGGGTTGCGTTTCGTAAGACTGAGGTCAACAACTTAAGTTACCCTTTAAAACTAGATAATCTCCGCGGCTTAAAATATTCTAGTACCTTAAAGCTGCTGCTCAAAATGGCTATTAGAAAATTTGCTTTGTGGATTTTTAGTGCCAAACTTAATCTTCTGTGGAGTTCCCCCCCCCCCCCCTCCCCCCCTCCCCTTCTGCCAGCCGTCAGAGGAACCAGAACACATTCTAGCAGCTCAAGTTTCTTCCAGAATAATCTGATGACCCAAATTACATTCACAAATATCAAAACATCTTGATGGAAATCTCGCAAATTCTCGGGTAATCACGTCATGTCTGTGACGTCAAAATTTCATTCATGAGATTAAAAAAGTCGGATTCTCATCTCTCCAGGAATCAAACCATTTTAATATCCGTACACAAAAAATACACGGGAATTCATGTGTTCAAATTGTCAATTACTGCAGGGATTATTCGACTGAATGTATTAAACCCTTTGGGGTAAATGGGGGTGGGGGTTGCGGGGGATGGGTGGGGGGGGGGGGGCTTTGATAAACACTTGCTTAAGACGTAGGAAGATGGTGAGCTTGTGAAGCTGGAGACTTAAAACATTGAAGGCTGGAGAAAAATTGGGAGCTGGAGAAGAATTGGGAGCTGGAGAAATGTTGGGAGCTGGAGAAATATTGGAAGAATAATTGGGAGCTGGAGAAATATTTAGAGCTGGAGAAATATTGGGAGCTGGAGAAATATTGGGAGAATTATTGGGAGCTGGATAAATATTTAGAGCTGGAGAAATATTGGGAGCTGGAGAAATATTGGGAGAATTATTGGGAGCTAGATAAATATTTAGAGCTGGAGAAATATTGGGAGCTGGAGAAATATTAGGAGCTGGAGATATGTTTGTACAGTAGCAGTTTACAGTTTGTGAGTTAACTTAAGCTTAAGCTGAAGGTTGAAATGTGAAGAGAAAGTTGAAATGTGAAGAGAAAGTTGAAATGTGAAGAGAAGGTTGAAATATGAAGAGAAGGTTGAAATGTGAAGAGAAAGTTGAAATGTGAAGAGAAAGTTGAAATGTGAAGAGAAAGTTGAAATGTGAAGAGAAAGTTGAAATGTGAAGAGAAAGTTGAAATGTGAAGAGAAAGTTGAAGCTAAACAAAAGATTCGAGTTGAAGAGGTGATGAGAGTTCAATATCCTAACAAATATGTGATGGTTTGTCAAATATGTGATGGTTTATCATATGTGTGATGGTTTGTCATATATGTGATGGTTTGTTACAAACTGCAAGAGCTAATAGGCTACTCGTAACGTTTCAAATTGTGCTAAAGCGGCTTTTTCATGCGCATGTGTGTGTACGCATATTACTTGTGTTTGCGCGAATGCTTGTGAGTAGGCTATATATGTTTATAACATATTATGTAGATAAATTACTACAATTATCTCAAAAGTCTAAAATACCGTTTCCGACAAATCTAAAATATTTAAAAAAAAAAAACAGATTGATCAAAACCTAAATTACTCGGCTGACCTAAGACAAACTGAGCTACACAGACGGATCAAAAACTAAGTAACCAAACTACATACATTAAAATACGTTTGAATCCAAGGTATCATGACGTGACTTCCCTAAGCTCACCCTGACCTTGGCCTGGCCTCGACCTGACCTCACTCTAGCCTCACCCTGATCTCACCCTGACCTCATCCTAAACTCCCCGACCTCTCACTACCTTAATTACCTCATCCTGACCTCACCATGACCTCGGCCTGACCTCGACCTGACCTCACTCTAGCCTCATCCTGACCTCACCCTGACCTCACCCTGACCTCACCCTGACCTCACCCTGACCTCACCCTAAACACCCGGACCTCTCACTACCTCAATTACCTCACCCTGACCCTATCCTGACCTCACCCTGAACTCACTCTGACCTCACCCTGACCTCACCCTGACCTCACCCTGACCTCTCCCTGACCTCACCCTGACCTCACCCTCTGTGTTTCAGATCCAAATCACCACGCTGTGTGTCTCCATCAGCCTAAGCGCCAGTGTGGCTCTCCTGTGCCTCTTTCTGCCCAAGGTCTACATCATCGTCTTCCAGCCACAGAAGAATGTCCGGAAGTTGACCATGAACTCTGCCAGTTACAAGATGGCGCCCACAGCCTCGACCAACACGGGGAATAACCATAGTAGCGGTGAGTAGAACGGCTTTTTTTATGAAGGGGAAGTAACTTGCTGTCAGGGGACGTCACTCACAAACCAACTCTGCTGGAGTTAGAGGAAGTTTTAATTTCTAAGAATATCACGTGTTATTACGCTAGAGTAACATAACTTTTAGATATTTATCATCTTAAAATTAAGTGAAATAATTTCCGAAGTTTTTTTTCTTAAGTAAATTTTTCATTTTAAAATGTGAGAGTGAATTTGGGTTTGTGGATGTGAGTGTGTGGGGAGGGGTGGGTGAGTGTAGGTGGGGTAGCTGTGTTAAGGTTGAACGTTTTATACTGGTATGTCGGTCATTAATAAAACTGCTTTCACTTGATTGGGTCCTATTTTCGCAACTTGGCTAAATAGAACAAGTACAATGGTAGGTAATCTTTTAATTGAAAACCGCCTTAATATAGACACAATCAGAACGGTTCGATACCTATCTTGAAATTGAAGGTGGGCTTTCAGCATGAAAAGTAGAATCGATTATTTCTTGCGAGACGAATACTGCACACTGAATAGGGCTCAGATAAATTGTGCAACCGTCAACAACTTCCCACACATTATTCACACCTACACCCACCCACACATCCCCACCCACTTTTATACTAACACATCCACACCCACACCAACACAACTACACAAACACATCCACACACCCTCATTCCCACACCATTCACACACCACCAACACCTCCGGCTAAACTGACGAAGTCTTACAACTGTGTACGATCGTCTTTGTTTATTTTTTATCCACGAACTTAGAAGGTTTATCCAACTATCCGTTTCCATAGTAACGGGCCTCTTAAAAATAAGATTAATTTAAACTTTAACATTTAGGTTTGAATAGAATTTAGATATTTAAATTGGGATTTTTTGTTATTCTCACACCTACATATACACACACGTTTATGTTATTTAGATATGTGTGATTTACTAGTACGAGAGTACACAGTGCTATAATAAAAGAAAAGTATATTTCTACGTAGGCCTACATAAAGTAAAAAGTTTACAATGTTTTGCAAAGCAAACATCTATGGCATTGTCGATAAATATTTGACGAAATTATGGTGCAAAGTTTAGTTTTTAAAAATACAAGTTGAACATTTTCCCTGGGACAATAATTACACAGCTATTTTTAGACGTGTAGCCTTGAGTGTGTTGTTTTGTTGGCGTGGCTTTGTGTGAGTTGTCTCGGTATGCTTTGGTTGTGTAATATGTAATCACTAGGCATTCTGCCTAGCTTCGCTTAGGTTTTCAAAAACATTTGATAATTTGAATACTAATTATTTGGTGATGGATGAGGCGTGGAGTTCTTAAATCTAAACAGTAATGCTAATTTTAGAGAAGATGTTGTATGTTGTTTAATATCCGCTTTCGAAAATACGCAATTTATAACTAAAATGAAAATAGAACTACAGAGGTTCCGTGAACAGTATATCTCACAATTTATATTACATTGACTTTTAAAATTAATTTTTTATTTAATTATGATACGTAGCTTAATTAACAACTTATTTGTTTTTAAAACAAATGCTATACTTTGTCGTTTTCTGTTTCTGTTTAAAATAGTATACAATTATTTGAAAAATAATTATTTAAAAAGGTTACCTCCCTTGAAAATTAACCGAATGACGTATGTCAGTGTTTACTTTTTTTTTTAAACAGTTACTATGCTTATATAAGAAAATACGATATATAAACATATTTAACGTCTACAATGGCTTTTTCCGACGGGAATAAAGTTTTTTTGTTACCCTCCAGGGTCGGTCTACGACCTCAAATAATATTAAGGGGATCGATCGTCAATTTATTTATATATATCTCATATAAGGAGAATTTCACTCGCGGTCATCTTTTAGCACTGGTCGAGGGCTTTGAGTCTGACCAACAGTTTTTCCATACGGCCTAGTCATCTATAGAAGTGTATGCAAAACATTAGCATGATGTACAGAGGTTAAGTAACGTAAAAATTGTGTTGAAATTACCCTGTTTTTCCCATAAAATACAAAGATTATATAGGGAAATACGACTGGTCAGTTTTGACCCCTTTACGAAGTTTTCCCAGATATGCCGAGTTTTTTGTGACACCCCAAGGCGTTCTCCTACCACCTCACAAAATATCAAGGGGGGTCGTCGGAGGAAAATGTTTTTCGTAATAGAGCTCATATAAAGAGAATTTCACTCGCGGTCACTTTTTAGCCCTCGTCGAGGGCTTTGAGTGAAACCGACAGTTTTCCCTAAAGGTCAAGCCATTTACCTAAGAGTATGCAAAAAATTAGCCAGATATACTGAGTTTAAGTACCCTAAAGTCTGCGTTGAAATGACCCTATGTTTTTCCCATAAAATACAAAGATTATATAGGGAAATACAACTGGTCAGTTTTGACCCCTTTACGAAGTTTTCCCAGATATGCCGAGTTTTTTGTGACACCCCAAGGCGTTCTCCTACCACCTCACAAAATATCAAGGGGGGTCGTCTGAGGAAATTTTTTTTCGTAATAGAGCTCATATAAAGAGAATTTCACTCGCGGTCACTTTTTAGCCCTCGTCGAGGGCTTTGAGTAAAACCGACAGTTTTCCCTAAAGGTCAAGCCATTTACCTAAGAGTATGCAAAAAATTAGCCAGATATACTGAGTTTAAGTACCCTAAAGTCTGCGTTGAAATGACCCTATGTTTTTCCCATAAAATACAAAGATTATATAGGGAAATACGACTTGTCAGTTTTGACCCCTTTACGAAGTTTTCCCAGATATGCCAAGTTTTTTGTGACACCCCCAGGCATTCTCCTACCACCTCACAAAATTTCAAGGGGGGTCGTCGGAGGAAATTTTTTTTCGTAATAGAGCTCATATAAAGAGAATTTCACTCGCGGTCACTTTTTAGCCCTCGTCGAGGGCTTTGAGTGAAACCGACAGTTTTCCCTAAAGGTCAAGCCATTTACCTAAGAGTATGCAAAAAATTAGCCAGATATACTGAGTTTAAGTACCCTAAAGTCTGCGTTGAAATGACCCTATGTTTTTCCCATAAAATACAAAGATTATATAGGGAAATACGACTGGTCAGTTTTGACCCCTTTACGAAGTTTTCCCAGATATGCCAAGTTTTTTGTGACACCCCCAGGCATTCTCCTACCACCTCACAAAATTTCAAGGGGGGTCGTCGGAGGAAATTTTTTTTCGTAATAGAGCTCATATAAAGAGAATTTCACTCGCGGTCACTTTTTAGCCCTCGTCGAGGGCTCTGAGTAAAACCGACAGTTTTCCCTAAAGGTCAAGCCATTTACCTAAGAGCATGCAAAAATGTAGCCAGAAGTAAAGAGGGTAAGTGCCCTAAAATCCGTTTTGAAATGACCCTCTGTTTTTCCCATAAAATACAAAGATTATATAGGGAAATACGACTGGTCAGTTTTGACCCATTTCCCGATTTTTCCCGGACATGGCGAGTTTTTTGTGACACCCCAAGTCGTTCTCCTACCACCTCACAAAATTTCAAGGGGGGTCGTCGGAGGAAAAAATTTTTCGTAATAGAGCTCATATAAAGAGAATTTCACTCGCGGTCACTTTTTAGCCCTCGTCGAGGGCTTTGAGTAAAACCGACAGTTTTCCCTAAAGGTCAAGCCATTTACCTAAGAGCATGCAAAAATGTAGCCAGAAGTAAAGAGGGTAAGTGCCCTAAAATCCGTTTTGAAATGACCCTCTGTTTTTCCCATAAAATACAAAGATTATATAGGGAAATACGACTGGTCAGTTTTGACCCATTTCCCGATTTTTCCCGGACATGGCGAGTTTTTTGTGACACCCCAAGTCGTTCTCCTACCACCTCACAAAATTTCAAGGGGGGTCGTCGGAGGAAAATTTTTTTCGTAATAGAGCTCATATAAAGAGAATTTCACTCGCGGTCACTTTTTAGCCCTTGTCGAGGGCTTTGAGTGAAACTGACAGGTCTGCCCTACGGCCAAGCCATTTACCTAAGAGTATGCAAAAAATTAGCCAGATGTAAAGAGGGTAAGAGCCCTAAAATCCGTTTTGAAATGGCCCTCTGTTTTTCCCATAAAATACAAAGATTATATAGGGAAATACGACTGGTCAGTTTTGACCCATTTCCCGATTTTTCCCGGACATGGCGAGTTTTTTGTGACACCCCAAGGCGTTCTCCTACCACCTCACAAAATTTCAATGGGGGTCGTCGGAGGAAATTTTTTTTCGTAATATAGCCCATATAAGGCGCCGGTCAGTCGATGTCAGTTTTGACCCCCTCTCCGTCGACTTTTCGGCCAACCGTCACCGGCTTTCGTGTTCTATCGCCCGAAGGCACCATCGTGCCAAATTTGACGCGCCTGCGGCGCCGGGAAGTGCCCTATCGGGCACTTGACCACTTTGCTTTATATATATAGATATATTTTAAAACGACTAGCATTTTATTAAAAGAACAAACTTAGCACGCTATACAAAGAGCACGATATTCAAAGAACATACTAAGCACGCTTTAAAAAGAGCACCATATTCAAAGAACAAACAGCACGCTTTACAAAGAACATGCTACAAAGAAAAAACAGCACGCTTTATAAAGAACACACTTATTTCGCTGTACTGGATTTCCTCGCCACGTGTAATTATGGCTAAGCTTCAATTTACGGTCTAATGTTCTATTTTTAAGACCAGCTGAAACGGGTGAATCCTCTCTGAAAGAGGATAAAACACCCCTCCTCTCCCCACCTTTCATCTCCTCCACCCTAAGGATTACACGCTATACGACAGTAAGCCGGAAAACAATGTATGTCAATAATATATGCGGAATAACCATACGCATTTTTAGCTGAGTTAGCAATGCTGGTGATTGCAATCAACTCTAAATCTTACATAAACACTAGCCCTAACCCTAGACAATAAACGTAATTGAAACTAACCCTAATCGCTTAACTATCTTTACCAATATTTTATCTAACAAGTCTATAAGTATACCCAATCGATTCGTTACGGTTTATACTTTTGTGTGAGAAAAGGCTAAATTGTGTCTTTGTCGGCTCTAAGCAATCGCGTATAACGGTCTCATTTCAATCTTGACTATTTGGTTTCAAGTCATTCATGTTTGTCACCTACTTTACATGTCATCTGCAGACTCAAAGACTGCAGGCTAATGACGGCATGCATCTTTTACATCACACACCAACTTCCGAGTGACGTCATACACCTACCATGACGTCGGTGTGCATGTCATACATCCTTTCTTGCCAAGATGTCGCTATCAAATATAGAGACCTATCTGGACATTTTGATTTGTGCCGGGATAGAAAAGTCCATATTTTCTTGTGGACATTTTGCTCCCACGCCCTAAAAATAATGTTAACAGTCAACACAGACGATGAAATGAAAATAATTTTCACCGGTGGCTGAATTAAAATGTAGTGCCGTCCCACTCAGAAGGAAATTTAGAACGGGATGAAGATCGTGCGAGACAGGTGGGTAAAATGCGAACAGTGACGGATCGGTGTGACTAAAGGCCTTGATCAACACACTGAGTTTTAAAGAGTAAAAAAATATTTTTTGTATCAATCAATAAGGCCACGGACTGCAAACTGTACTGATTGACCGCAGTAAACAGGGATTCCATTGGTCCGTGGGGAGTGGGGAGAGGGGAGTGGGGAGAATATTTAGAAAACAATCTCAAGCATGTTTACAGAAGGCCCTTAACTGCTTGTTAGTACCCCCATTCCATAGGTTGGGGGGGGGGGGGGAATATTAGTACCCCCATTCCATAGGTTGGGGGGGGGGGAAATATTAGTACCCCCATTCCATAGGTTGGGGGGGGGATGTTAGTACCCCCATTCCATAGGTGGGGGAAATGTTAGTACCCACATTCCATAGGTGGGACAAATAAATCTCTTGAGCATGAGGAATGAAAGGGGGGGGGGGGGTACTGGGCTAAAGAAGGTTCTGGATCAATCATGTACTTTAGTATTGGCTATACAATCAGTTCAATTTTGTTGTAAAGAATGCAAAAGGCCATACATTTGAACTGAATGAGATGTAAGCCATTCAAACACACAAAAATACTTTTAAAAATTTCATTTTCCGCCAAAAGATACCGGACAGATTTCGGACAAACATGTACCGGACACATACTCGCCAAACTTTGACCTTTCATCCGACAACAATTACTTCAAGGCCATTCCTAATTCCAGAGTTCTCCTCATCGATCTCCAACGGGTATCGGTAGTTCATAAAATCAAAATTCATTGAACTTTGCCGATAACGGTCTAAATCTTCACATTGGTCAATACATCAGAGACCCGGTCTGGCCGAGGCCGGGGGTGGGGGAGGGGGTGTGGGGCGGAAGCGGCGAAATGGGTTGAAGCCTCTCGGAAGATATCAGCGCTACTCCTGGGACTCCGGTTTTCATTTCGCGGGATTACCTCACGACTATTAGAATAATGGCGACCTTACCCCGACAACCCCCAACGCTTTTTCTCATTTCGTCAGATCTTTTTTTTTTTTTACTAATTTTTTTTAAGATGATCAAATAGTTTGGTCTGTATGAAAAACAACATACTTATAACGTGAAACATCTTTAATTTTTTTTTCATGTTCTTGAAAATTTTTATTTTAAAAAAAAAGTGTGAAAACATTTGTATAAAAACATTAGTGTTGGGTACAAGAAAATGATATCGGTGGGATTTGATTTTCGTTGTTTAGTTTGAAGAGATTCTATAATTTAATACGTGCCGTAGATTTTGTGATTCTACACGATTCGTTAACTACAACAGAAGAAAAATAACGAGAAACAGGTTTTAGATTTCGACTTGTTGTCTTTTGTGTGAAGTCAATTGAATCTGTGTGTGGATATTTGCAGAGGGATGAGTATAGAAATATTGTGGATAGCTGACACTGGTGTTGATTGGATTGCGGATGTGGATGTGTAATAAAAATTCATAACTTATATGTGTATTTGTCTATTGTTATATTATATTGCTATTATATTAAAATGTTAGTGTGTTTATTATTGTATAAAACAAGCACAGTAGATTTTCGTGAATTCCATGTGATTTTTCGCATGTCCGAGTGTATGAGATAGTGTATTTGTGAGTGTATGTGTGAGTGTCTGTGTGAGTATGTGTGAGTAAAACAGTGGGTACGAGAGTCGAAGTGTATGGGTGGGTGGGGTTGGGGGTGTTGTAGTTTGGGTGCGAGTAAATGTGAATATGGGTGTGGGGGGGGGGGGGAGAGTTGGTGGGTGTATGCGGAAGCGAATGTGGGAGTTCATATGGGAGTGCACATGGGGTGTATGTGGAGTGCAAGTTCGTCTAATTTACCATGCAATCTCGTAAAAAAAAAATTCCGTCCAGATTCCGCCTTGTTTTTTTTATCGCGTTTTTTTCTCCTCCGTGATTAGATTTTTGTACCGCGACAAAAAATACCCGGAAACTTCAACAAGCCCTACTGTGACGTCAGCGTATCTGCGAACGAGAGTATGTCGTGTGCGAGACGTGATCGCGAGATTTACTCCTTTTCCACCCGACCCCGTTCCCATCCTTTCGACCACACCAGCAGTTCAAAACATTGGTGAATGACAAGGGAGACCACTGCTAATACAAAACACAATGTTCGAATGCACCATTGGCTCAGGTGAATGAAAGAGATGAACCAAATGTAAATTGCTGATGACAGAATTGAGACAACACTAGCTATGTTTTTCCTTATATTCTGTTAATCCTCTTCCTTCCAAGAGGCAACTAAAATCCATTCAAAATTAACCTGCTTGTAATTTTAATCTGACACGTGATGTAGAAAAATGGTATAATGAAAACATCTGCCTACACGAGCCTAAAAATATGTGATGGTTTTCAACAACCTAACTGCTAGAATAGAACACAATGTATACTTGTGTGAATAAAAACCATTGACTTGCTCTAATTGTTATAATTAGCATCATTAAAGCAAAGAAAATTATTATTAGCAATATATTCAAAAATGGTTTTAACCCTAATAGTGCAATATTTTGTAAAAATAGAATCTAGTTGAATTCTCATAAGAATGATAGGATATTTGTTTTGTTTTGTTTCTTGTGGACGAAATTTAATTATTATATTTGAGCAATGATTCTTTCTTTTTATTTCAAATCTTTAGTACATGTTGTTTTCTAAGTCTATTTTTACACTCTCTTACCTACATTTTCTTGACATTTCTGTCAATATGACAAGAAATTTCGTGAGACCAGCAAAAAGTTGTCAAGATCTGGCAACGCACTTACAAATTATTTATCAACCTAAACAACTATATATATATATATATATATATATATATATATATATATATATATATATATATATATATATATATATATATATATATACATGCATATGTATATACATATATATGTGGGTGTATGTTTGTGTGTGTAGTAATGTGTATATATGTGTGTATACATGTGCGTGTATGTGCGTGTTTCTTTACGACCAAGTTTAACGTAAATCTTGAAGAAAAAAAAAATCCCTAGAACCGGGCGTCGAGCGAGTAAAAGGAAGTCAGGCGAGTACAAGACTGTTGACGTCTGGCCCGTCCCCAGGGTGAGTGCTAACGTGACACGAGGCTTACCGTGAGGGCACCTCATCATTTCTCGCGAGTTAACCAAAAGTCTTGCGCTTGGCATCTTGGTCAGACGGCTAGGATTTGTCTCTAAATATAGAACTCACGAGACTCGCGCGAGACGACCTACCGGAAGTACAGAGGTCACGCGAGAAAACGTTGTAGAAAACAAAATCGCCATATTTGTATGGACCTTTGGAGACATTATCCATAAACATATACGCATATATATATATATATATATATATATATATATATATATATATATATATATATATATATATATATATATATATATATATGCATGTATATATATATATATGTATGTATGTATACATATCTTTACTAGCAGCGCTATTTACAGCACACTGAGGTCAAAAATGTATGATAGGTTTTAAATATGTCGGCACGTGGCATGCTTCTATCAGTACTCACGCTAAGGTTATTGGTGGGTATGAAAGGAAGATTTATGAGACTAGAGACGTGAGCTATTGATCAGTGCCTGCAATAGGATTACAGCCTGGTGTATGTTAGCAGGACCGTCGGCCGCTGCAGTAAGAGTGGGGTTCGGGGGTGGGGTCATGGGGATCATGGGTGGGGGTCATTGGTGGGGGTGATGGGTGGGGGTCATGTTGGTCATGGATGTGGGGTCATGGTGGGTTACGGGTGGGGATCAAGGGGGGTCTTGGGTATCATGGGTGGGGGTCATTGGTGGGGGTGATGGGTGGGGTCTCGTGGGTGCGGTCATGGGGATCATGGGTGGGGGTCATTGTTGGGGGTGGTGAGTGGAGGTCATGATGGTCATGGGAGGGGTTATGGGTGGGGGTCATGGTGGGTTATTGGTGGGGTTCAAAGGGGGTCTTGTGGATCATGGGTGGGGGTCATTGGTGGGGTTCTAGTGGGGGGGGGGGGTCTTTATGTGTGAGTTGTCAGGTGGGTAGAAATATGTTGGGTCATGGTGAGTAGTCTATGACGCAGGTGTTATAGGATTGGAATCATGGGTGTGTATCATGTGACGGGGAGGGTCTTGTTGTGGGGGTTATGTGGTAGGGGTCATGGGGCGGATTCGAGCATGGGGTCATGATTTTGGGTCAGGATATATGGGGTCGGGGGTCGCCGTCAGTGATGTGTTTCTATTGTTTCACCTGTCCACTTTTGTTTCCTCCCCAGCCCCGAGTTCCGAGCATGGGGTCATGATATGGGGTCACGATATGGGGTCATGATATGGGGTCGGGGGTCGCCGTCAGAGATGTGTTTCTATTGTTTCACCTGTCCTCTTTTGTTTCCTCCCCAGCCCCGAGCTCCGAGCACCTGAGGCTGAACATCCAACCCCGGGCAGCCGTCGCCGGCACGACGACAGAGACGGAGACGGACGACCGGGACAGTCTGGCATCGCTGTGAGAACCGGAAGTTCAAGAAAGATGACAGGGATTTTTCTAAAAACGTCACGGATGAAGACGCTCTAATAATACCGAGCAACTCTACTGTACCTGCACTGAGATGTTTTGACAGCGAGGGTGTTTGGGCGTCTGTTGTTCATACTACTGTCAACGTTGTCGTTCATTGTGTATAAATTACCATCAAAGTAGACGACAGTAGATAGGACTTCAAAATCAGGAAACGTAACTCTCCGTTGTTGTATTCTACAGTTTTGGTACATATAAAGCGGGAAAAGGTGAACACGTTTAATGGGTCCACTTGTACGTCACGATCTTCATATGAAAAATTATATTTTTTTGTAGAAAATGAAAAAGTTGTTGCAAGGCTTACTTCCCCTAATAAGTTCTGGCGAACAGGTTGAGCTGAGATTCCAACAACTCAGCTGATTTACGGTCTCAGCAATAAAAATTACACACTGAGTACACGTATCGGAATGGTGGTACTGTGTGGCCGACTGAGAAAATACGCAGCACCATCGTAATAGTACCATCATGTGGTTGAACACTACCATATGGCTTTTAGTAATGCCAGTTCTGAGAAGTTCACTATCTGGTGTTTATAGTTTTAATGTTGAATACTAAAAACAAAAACAATTAACATTTTTGGTTAGATATGTTTTGGTTTAATTTGATTGGTTAATCATTCGATAATTGCTTAATAAGTAGGTCTGCTGTTTTATATGTGGGATTTTATAAAGAGGCTGGCCTTGACCCATATAAATATCAACCCAGTTATGATCTCACGGATTTGGCCTACTTCAGGTCATTGAACCTAGCAGCAGTTCCCGTAATGCACGTGATCAACACGGTGCTCGTCTACTACACGAACACGGAGCGGGTTCGGATACCAACTAGACGGAAAACAAACTGCACTGAGAATGTGGGTCACTCTACATAATTGAGCAACCCACTAAAGTGTACTCGTATATACAAAGATCACGTGATATTAAAAACAGTTCGTTTTAGTACTCAACTGACCTGACAACGGAAATTCACGCGGAATATATTTGATGAAAAACTAAAGTGTCTGGTATATGTGTATCAATTGTATTTATTTCACACTCATTAAAGCCATAATAATACTATTTATTGATTGCTTTATATTTAATGTTTTTAAATAAACTCGTTCTTTGTATATGTATATGTATATATATACATTTACATATATGTATATATATATATATATATATATATATATACATATATATGTGTGTGTATATATATACGTATAAAAATACATATATATACACATAAATACATACATGTATACACATAAATACATACATATATATACACATAAATAAATAAATAAATAGATATATGTATACACACACATATATATGTATATATATATATATATATATATATATATATATATATATATATATATATATATATATATATATATAAATATATACATATATAAATGTAATATATATATAAGTATATATATATATATATATATATATATATATATATATATATATATATATATATATATATATATATATATATATATATATATATATATATATATATATATATATATATATATGATAATACACATTATATAGGTGTGTATGTATGTGTATACATTTATAACAATTATTTATATACAATACATATATATGTTTGTATCTATAGACTTATGTTTGTCTATCAATTTATATATATATATATATATATATATATAGATATATATATGTATATTTATATTTATAAATTTATATAGGCCTGTTTATATATATATATATATATATATATATATATATATATATATATACATAATAAGCATTGTTTGAATATTGTTTGTACATTCTGAACATATTGTATGTACCCTTTTCTAACTTGGACCAATTCAAGACCAATACTTCATACACTGTGAATACAGCTAGCCGTGCTACGTGATTCTATGCCTCTACTTTAATGTCATCTGCCAAATCCTTCACTGCAACTAGGCCTTCTATATGAAAACGTCATACTGCACTCAATGTTATAGCATGTTAAATAAGATCTTTAGTTCAAATCTGTTCATCGTTCTGTGCTTCACGTGAATTGATTTCGTTGATTTATTCACATATTATATTGATTATCCCATTGATGTGTCTAGTGACTTTACACCATTTTTAATCACGTTTGTTAATTAAGTTCTAATTAACCTGAAATCTGGGCGGCTTGGTGCTGCAGTCTCTTGCCACGTGCACTAATTTGATTGCGTTTTGAGAAACACATCTGTGTTTGAAATGGTAAAGTCACATTTATCAATGCCATTGTATTTATCATCATCAAAGTGTATCTTCATTTCACCCCAAATGTTTACATTGGTGATTGTTCTAGAGAAATCGACATTTTTACCGAACTAGTTTGTAATCCTGTTATCATATGTTAAATTTCTTTCATACATTTAAATTATGTGAAAGTTTTCGTTTTGTAAATACACATACTTAATTTGTTTATATGTACAAAAATTAGTAGAATGGATTTTTCTAAAATTGTCATTGTAATGAAATCTAAAAGCAGTATATAACATTCCTAATAATAATTACTAATACTTTAAAATTATGACATTTTTATAATTTTAAAAGTCACTATTTTTTTTTAAATGCTAGTATTTATTAAAACTATGTGAAATATGTACAAGTTATTTCCCTTCTGCAGTGTTCTTTCCCTTGTAAATACATGTTTTTATGTAGCCTGTCTTGATAAGATACTTAGCTCTATTTATAGCGCCAAGCTGTGGTTTGATGCCAGTGAGAACAGGAGTATATTGTTTACCTATTTTAGTCACAAAGAATAGCGTGTCGTGGACATTCATTAACATAACGTTTGGAGCGGTTATTATCTCTATGTGTGTAAGTATCTTGGTTTGAGGGCATAAGCGTAATAATCTGTAAAAATACGCATTTACTGAAATGTATGTTATCATCAATGTGATACGATATGTGTAGTATGTATATATGTGTAGTGTATATATATATATATATATATATACATATATATATATATATATATATATATATATATATATATATATATATATATATATATATATTAGTCAAATACATATTTAAGGCCCCAGTTAATGACCTTTTAGGATCTTTTTGATAACATGTTTTAATGACCTGTTTTATGACCTTTTTAGGACCTTTAATTTAATCTAATGACCTATGACTTAAGGACCTGAGGAACATACTTAAAAGTGGTGTCTCATATAGCATAAGCCTCTGCACTGAATGATGATGATGTGTGTTTAGTTATGTTTATAGCTGTGGCTGGTAGCTACATGTATAGCTGTAGCTAATACCTTCATATATAGCTGTGACCAATAGATACATATACCTATACAGGTACATAGCTGTGGCCAAAAGCTACTATGGTTGCTGTCTACGAAGCTACATGTATAAATGTGACAAAAATAATTTAATTTGTTTATAATGAGACACGTTGTAAACGGTTGTGCACGAAGGTGTGTGTGTGTGTGTGAGGGGGGTGGTTGTGATGCAGTGGGAATATATGACAACCTCGTAATATAGTATATGTATATGTATTGTGGTGGAGGGGGTTAATGATGTGTGTAAAACTACTATGTTGACTGGGTGAGTGAAAAAGAAAACAGGTCTGTGTATGTATATGTGTATATTTTGATGGCAGACTCAGAATTGTTGTACATCTTCATTATTTAAATACAAAACAGCTTTCATGCATTTTTTAAATTACTGCAATTTCATAAAATGCTTGTACATACTTTAGTTAAGCTCTCTTTCATATTTCAAGGCCCGTTAGAGAATACAATGTAACTAAGCTGCATGCAGTATATTTATTTAGTTACTGGAGATTCCCGAATAATGATGTGTATTTCCGATAAATAAAATGGAATCACAAATAAGTTATGGGGATTCCCGTTACATACATTTCCGGAAGTCGCACTACACCGTCACGAAGATGCAAACGGTGCGCAGGTCGGAAACTGGCACCCCTACTGGCAGCACCGACGCCTCGTAGGACGACACATCTGTAGGGGTGAAAGGTCATGTTTGCTAGAAATGTGTCGATGTCAAATTTTTGTTTTTTTTAACCCACGAATTCCAACACGCTTCTTGCTGGTCGTTACACGCACCTCACCATAACGGCAAGAGCCCCTATCATTATAAATTGTATGTGTAAAAACTGTACTAAAAAACTGGGTTTTAATATGCCATTCTGTAAGACTGCTATGTTTACGATTTATCTTGTTGATATTATGTGGTCCACCCAGTGTTTTACAGAGATAAGAAGAGAACTTGTATTTATACTCATCGAGTGTGTGTTGATCTATACAGTATAATACATCAAGGTGAATGTATGAGTGTTGATCTATACAGTGTATCAGATCAAGTTGAATAAATAAGTATTGATTTATACAGTTTTTTAATATGTTCGATGTGAAAGTTGATCTATTTCGTGTACCAGGATAAGTTGAATGAGGTATTGCTATTCTGTACACTTTTACCATTTGTTGAATGTGACTTAAATGTGAAATTTTGGGTTATAGAGATATGGTTTAACTCAGTAGGTTCCATAAGGCAGTGCATAGCTATATAGTTATGCAGTATGTTAGATCTGACTGTGAATACAGAGATTGTGTATCTCTGGTACACGGGAGAGGAACTTTAGCTGTAAATTAGTAAATAATTTTTAGCAGTAGATGTGGGTGCTTGTATAGTCAACAAAAACATATGACGTATGTGTTTATTCACTTTGTTACGGTGATTTTTGTTATAATTATTGGTTGCAGGTTCATGTCTACTAATGTAACGAACATTAGATTTTAACTAGCGTATATATATATATATATATATATATATATATATATATATATATATATATATATATATATATATATATATATATATATATATATATATATATATAATCAATATTAAGACTATAAATGTAGTCTAACTATATGTAGTATATGTAGTATATATATATATATATATATATATATATATATATATATATATATATATATATATATATATATATATCTTGTTTCGAAGTGCGTATGTATTGTATGTTCTACTGAAAGCAAATATGGTAAATTTGATTGTTAGGCTGACTATTGATGCTGTATAGATTTGTTTTGGTACATTTTGTAATGAAATTTATAACGATACTGAGCATGAAAGGATTCATTAAACTATCCCATCATTCCGTATTGTTGTTCCTGTGTTGTAATGAGGTTGTGTGTTGTGTTGTAATGACGTTGTGTGTTGTGTCTTGTGTTTGAATCAAATTATTTAGTCAAGGTATAACATAATCATATAGTCTAAATACGTGGACTGTTCGTTCAAAAAATATGTTTACACAAAGGGTTCATGCATATAGGATAATATTCCACAATATATAACGAAAAAAAACATGGATTGACAAAATGAACTGATATTCCACCCAATACAAAACCTATAAATTAATGGTACTAGCTTAATTCTGTAGAATTATAATAGATAGACAAACTTAGTATAATATTGGTTACCTTTTTGAACATGGTGGTCCTTGGGTCAGATGAAGTAGTGTTCACGTATTTTTCGATTTCGACAATTAAAGGAGTATTGTACTTTGAGTCAGGTACCCATTAGAGCTGGGTTTGCTCAGGCACGTTTTACTGACTCATGCCCGTGAGCCTAAATTGAGACTTTCGGGTCAGCATTCATATGCTCTACCATCTACCCCGCTGTCCCTTAGTAAATGATTGCATTCAATTTGATTTTGCATCCTCAATTTATTTTTCGTAAAATAAATATTTATTAAAACAAATATTCAAAAACGAGGCGCAAAAACAAAAATAAAATAAAAATAAAAACACAATTTGACACTTGACATAAGTAAAAGTAAAGTTTCCCTTTCAAACCTGACGGTCTATGGGGCAAGTGAAGTAGAGTTGACTTGTTTCTTTGACCTCGGCATATGAAGAGATAGTGTGGTCAGCACTTTGCCCACTTGACATAAGAGTCTGTGAAAAATACCCGGACAAGTGTCGAAACAAAATATCTATCATTGCATACATATATCGATACATATCGGTCGGAATTAAAAATTGCAAAATAAGTAAGAACAAAATTTAAGAAGAACAATACAATTAAAGCCTTAAAAGTAAAACCCATTTTCAATTAAGTAAAAAACCGAATTAATAAATACTGGCTTAGTGAAGAATTATGTGGAAATAAAAGAGCTATAGAGACAACAAACTAAAGCAAATCACAACACCAACCCTAATCTATGAAACAACGCACAGATGAAATAAACAAAGTTAAATCGCCCATTTTAAAATATAAGAGAGTCCAAAAATTTTATACTGAGTTAGTGTGTTAAACTGTGTCTCACTAATCCGATCCAATAAAATATTTTACTACCCATTGCACATATCCACAAATAATCTGCAACACTAGCTGAGTCAACAATTTCTGACCAAGCGTGTGTAACCCTCACTCAGTGGGGATGCTTTTACCCACTGAGGTGTTGTGGTTAAGACGGGCTGACCCTGAGATTAAGAACACACTGACACCGACAGTTGTTGTCAAGTACTCCTTTATTCACAGCATCGAGCCATGACGGCGATGCAACACTGTAGTACGACGAGAAAAAATACTGAAGCAACAAGAAACCAAGAAAACAAACTAGCCAAGAAAAAACTGCAGCCCTAAAACAAATGTAAATAAAAAGTTACATTCATGACAACACCACGTGTAGGCTACAATATACACGGGTACAATAAAATATGTTTCGGCCAGTACACAGTACTGCCAACAAGTACCAATAAGTAGTACTTCAAATAAATACTTATATTAATACTCACCCTAACTAGTGTGCACAGGCAACACTAGCAGGAATACACAAATAAGTATTTTAACAAACATAATTTAAATAACTACACTACCTTCATTAGGTCTACATCTTGGCCACCGTGTCCACAGACAGCAGCCTTGCGTGTGACTGACACGGCTAGGCACGAAACTACCCACAGTCCCATGTCACATGACATGGAACACAGGTAAAATCGCTCACAAGAGCATGAAAAAACAACTAAGTCAACAGGGCCACAGCCCCACTGGGGCCGCAACTCAATGAATTAAAACTTCATATTTTTCCCTTCCCTGGCTGGTAACCATATGTGTTACACGTGTAACAATATTTCAGTGAAACAAATACCACCCGTGCCAAAGTATGTCAAAGTCTTGAGATATTTACATCCAGCCCTTACAAACGTCAGATTTTGCCTACCGCTACCCTAGACAACAATAGAACAACTAGAACTAGCGTTAAGTAAATGTCAAGGATACAAAAATAATTTAAAAATTGACCAGAGAATTAAGTGTAAGTCTACAAGAAAAACAAAGAAATCACACAACATTCTCAAATCTAAAGAGAGCAAATGACAACGTCGGTACGGCTTTGCATTCGATCAGGACTTTCAAGAATTAACAATATGATTTAATGTTTAATTTTAAGAATGAATTGGTCATTGTTTGATTGCATTAGCCTATTTATAGCACACAAGGAATTCTTTATACCCTTTAGTACCAATTGGATTCGCCTTTGGTACTATTTGGTTGTACGTGATAGTAATTAGTACCATTTTGTTAATTGTTGTCTTAATTACTGTGCCTTCCCTTTCAATATTTACACCTTGAAATCCTGATTTATTGGTTTGGTTTTCAATAAATTTAGCTGTAAAGTTGAAATAAAGTCCTTCTGACTCTAGTTATATTTTAATTTATTTTGTTTCTTATGGGTACGAATTACCCACTTCCCCCTAATAGTCTACTCAATGAGAATTACTACTTCCGGTCAACTGAAATTACTCAAAATTTAACAGAAGGTAGAAAATTAGATCTTTTACTTATATATGAAATTTCCTTTATCTATCTGAAATAGCACTCAAGTTATAGGCTTTTGAAAAATTCAAAGTAGAAAAAGTACCACTTCCGGTTATCGGAAATAGCTCAAAAGTTGAAACGGATCTACGATTTTGATAAAATACTTATATATGAAATTTCATAAACCTAGCTGTAACGGTACTCAAGTAATCGTGTTTACACACAGACACACAGACACACACACACACACACAGACACACAGACATACGGACAAGATTGCAAAATTATGTTTTTCCGTATCAGTGAGGTGTAAAACGTCGAGATTTGTAAAAATCTCGATTTTTTTTTGCACGATTACAATACTTTCTCTATACTTCGTATATACGAGAAAGTAAAAATGCCAGAAATTTCGTCAAGACTAGATTGTATAATATTGTTTAAAACCCCTACAGTTTTTACGTCTACATAACCTTTGTCGCCTACGGTAATACCATAAAGCGTGTATTAAATGCAGTAATAAAAAATAAATCTATCTAACATTTCTCAATAGCAAAAGGAAGACTTTTAATAGTGCAACACTAACTATTTTTTTTATTATTATTGATTTAGAAAACGTATTTTTATTTTCTTTATATTTTGTATTTTAAAAGTTTTCTAATTTAACGGGTTTTATACTTCTTTGACTCGGTGGCGTCACTAGTATTACTGTTTTTATGGTCATGTTGGATACATTGGGGTAAGTTTTACTACAATGTCAATTTTAAAAATATGCTTCGTAAACAAGCCCGTCACTACACCAACAACATTGAATAAAATAAGTAATCTAAGGTATATAATCCATACATTATCAGCAAAATGTGTAATTAGTTTGTTGCTTCCCCTTAAAAAGTACAAATTACTATTACACTGAAAAGAATTATAAGACTACTTGATTGTAGTCATATTATAGATCGTCGATTTAACATTTTATATTTTGCCAATATATATATATATATATATATATATATATATATATATATATATATATATATATATATATATATATATATATGTGTGTGTGTGTGTGCGAGTGTGTGTGTGTGTTTGTATGTGTATTTAATAGGCCCATTTTATTCAGCTTGATAGTATTAAAATAAACAAAAAGTTTAGTCTTCAAAATATTCTTTACAAGTTTAATCTGTGGTTAGTAAGGCTACATTATTTTTCAAACACAAATTTATTCAGCTTCAATTTTATTTTCACTGTATTAGTTTTATTTCGTTATATTCTCAATTCATTTTTATATGTACATGTAACGTTTGTGTTGGAGAGTAGAACGTGAAATTACGTGACGTAAATGTGTTAGGGGCTGGACGAATTGACGTGGCATATAAATATTTTCCATTCTTTCTATTGTTATATTTTTAATAAAACGTACAGTTTACTTTAGTTTTAACTCCGACTTCCTTAACAACTTTTCTTCAAAATGGGACTGTCCCTTTCTTCATTATTTAACAGACTTTTTGGTAAAAGGAACATGAGAATCTTGATGGGTGAGTTCTCTTTTCACTTCCTGTCGTCAGTCAAGTCATGTTGTTTGTTGTAGACTATTGTTACTATTATAGACTGGTAGATAAATCTAGAATAGATGAAGATATCTAGACTTTTGAGTTTAGATCTAGGTTCTACCCCTAGGCCTATAGTCTTATTATTTATCTCATTTATTGTCTGTTTTCTGCTTGTTAATCAAGATCTAGGCTTCATGCAAAAAAAAAAAATTTTCCATGTCATGTTGAATTCAGATTTTGAATGAATGTGATACTAGGCTTGTCGGTATCGGCCGAGATCGCGGTAAAAACATGACCCGAAATCTCCCATTACTTTCTGATACCGGGCGCACGAGATTTGGTTTTGCATACTAATAAGTTTTTAATTTATGGTAATTAATTAAGTTTAAAAGGTCATTTCCTAATGTTAAATGAAAAGTAGAATGGTTTTCCAGTTGTTTTGATGGCTTAGCGATCTGATTGCATGCTGTCTCTGCTTTGGTCTTACCACGGTATAAAGGTTAACTTCAAATGCTTTAAAAGCGCGATTTTTGAAAAGTTTCCATTTAGATAATGAAAGTTTCCAAAGCAGATACATCCCATTTTTATAGAAATGATATTTATTTTTGGATATTTTGACTTTGACATTAGTAAATACTCATTTGAAAGTAGTCGCCGTAAGTAGGTCACGTTGCCCCCATTGACTCCAATGTTATATTTCTTCATCCCGATCTGCCGGCTTTTAGTTTTGATACACTAACAACAGTATTCTTATGTAATGTACAAACAAATCTCCTACTTGTTGTTTTAAACATATTTTAATATAGATCTACCTGTCTTTCATTTTTTCAACTGTGGTTCTAGTTTTGCTTGAAGTAAAATTTTGCTGAGTCAGACATAGGTTACCTGTCTGTTGCTAGAATACACTACACTAGCTATGTGCTAACTGTAATTTTAAGTATTCAAGTTCTACTTACCCTTACTTACAGTTATATTTATATGCTGAAAATCAGAATTCATACACAATACACACATAAAAACATTGATCAGATAACTTCAGTTCACTTTTAACAAAATAGCTTAAAGATAGACTCTACTTCACCTGCCCAAAATAATAAGGCAATTATATGCACATTACAGTGTTCAAGTCATTTACTTTAGATTGCTAAGTATGTAGTTCTTTCATTCACTGTATTTATATAAAGCATTGCTTTAGAAACTTTTTCATACTTGCACAGCACAGTTTTATAACAAAATGTCTTAAAGATGGACTCTACTTCACCTGCCCAAAATAATGGGGCAGTTATATGCACATTTCAGTGTTCAAGTCATTTACTTTAGATTGCTAACTTTGTAGTTCTTTCATTCACTGTAAAACATTGCTTTAGAAACATTTTCATATTTGCGCAGCACAGTTTTTTTGGGGTTATGGAAGGAAGCCAACACAAAAATATACTTCTGTATTATTTTTATTCATTTCAACAGCATATACAAGTTCTATATATCATTCTAGCTAAACTCTGCAAATATGAACAAAATACAACAGCAAGTAAAATAACTATGCTCAATTTATTCAGGCATACCATGACTTGTCACAATTGGCCAATGCAAAAACAAGGGCATTCCACCCCTCACAAAAAAATTCGCTAAAAAAAAAACTATTTGAGCTAGACAGAAAATCTTTTTTGTTTTGTTTTCATATAGTTGAGCTCTACAAGAATATGTAATTTTTATTTTTATATGATGATTAGTGTTTTTTTACCAAAATCCCTAGTGATACTGTTGCATGTCTTAGACTTTAGCCACTTTACCTTTGACTTTAGCTGCCCAAAAAATTAACACTTAGGCCTACCCAGATCTGGTCACTAGAGTCAATATCTGACATAATATTAGTCCTAGCTAGTAGATTTTCTCACTAGAACTCTAGATCTAAAATGTAGGGCCTAGGCCTATGCAATTTCCAATCAATTTAAACATGACCACTGAATAATAGACATCCATATTTAATCAATTAGGCACTAATTTTGAAGTTTTTAGTTCGCTTTAAACTTACTTACTTAAATTTAGTATTTATTGCCACTCAATGCCATGACACAACACACCACTCCATGACAACACAGCTTAATTCAACTTATGTTTTAAGCCAACACAAACTACGATTCTGTTCGACTTTTTAATTGACTATGCACCAGAGTACCTTACTAGTGATGAACCAAATAGCGGTCACGTGGTTTTTTTAGATTAAATATAAATTGGTTGTGATATGAACGCCGGTCTTTTAAAAAAATCAGCTCACAACCCACATTTTAATATTATAACGCAAAAACCCCAACATTAATTCTAAGAAGGTCACTGGAACCAAAAACAGGATAATAACTAAGCCTAATAGTCTAATATTTTGATAATTCTAATGTTTCATTAGTAATGTGGTGGATTTTTCGTACCATTGTCTGATTATAGAATCTTCTGAAAAAACGGGTGTTAGGTTGCTTGTAGTTAACTAAACTGCACAAATTGCTTGATAATGTCAAAGCTGACCCAAGCAGCAACATTAATCCTACTAATACTACCTATGCTAATTTCTAACAAATCACTAGTACTTTTACTTACTGTGGTCATTGGAAGACGAAATAAGCAAATGTGCTTTTATTCTCTTATGGTAGATCCTACAATAATTTCTTATCTTTTTAAAAATTGACTCTTCTAGCCTGGTTAAAAGATCATTATTTTCTGACTAACCTTAATATATATATATATATATATATATATATTATATATAGGGCCTATATTGCTTTAAAAAGTTATCATTGATACCGTTTGCGCTATAAATAGAAAATAAATTCTCTACTTAGTTCAATTCAGAACCTGAACCTTAGATAAGGCTAAATATAGATTGATGTTGAATGAAATGAGTACATATATTTTATCTTCACGTCACTGTAAATAGCTTTGCTATTTTAAGGACCAGCTAGTTAATTGTTTTTCGGGTGGAAACATTTTTAAAAAATTGTAAGAGTTCAAAGCCATTCGCTCTTTGATTTATTTTTTGTGAAGGCTACATATTTCATCAAATAAGGAGTCTTAAGCAGCTGTTTTAGTTAAAATAGTTTATACAAATATCAAGTGGTACTTCAGTTACTGTAAATTTGTGACAGTTATTGTTTTAATGTTATTGATTATCTTCAACTTTTTTTTCATTGATTAATTTTAGTTGGTCTTGATGCTGCTGGAAAGACAACAATTCTGTATAAATTAAAGCTTGGAGAAATCGTGACAACTATTCCAACTATAGGTAATGTTGTATTAGAGTAGCACTAAATGTTTATGTTGTATGTAAGTTTTCTTTACTTAAGTAGAATGGTTTATGATACAAATGCTTGAATGTTTTCATTTTTCTTGTGCAGGGTTCAATGTTGAATCAGTTGAATACAAAAATATAAGCTTTACAGTTTGGGATGTTGGTGGCCAAGACAAAATCAGACCTCTCTGGCGACATTACTTTCAAAATACCCAGGTACTTACAGGTTTTAGTGTGTTGTGGGGGCTGACAGTTTCTCATAGTCATTTGTGTGTGGTTTTATCACATTTGTGGCTCTGTTTTCTTGTATTGAAATAGTTAGCTATACAGTTGTGATCATCAGTATCTGTAATTTAATACTTCTAGCTTCATTATATTTTTAAAATTTCAAGCTTATATTAAACTGAACTGAATGTTGCTTTTAAATACCTACATCTGTGAAGGATTTTAACTTGTAAAATCACATCTAGCCTAAATTTTCTTTCATTTATTTCAGGGTCTCATTTTTGTTGTAGACAGTAATGACAGAGAGAGATTAGCAGAGGCTAAAGATGAGTTAACAAAGATGGTTAGTTGTTTCTTTATAAGTTTTTTTTTAAGTTTGCGGCAGTAGATAACGAGCATGACTATACAAGCATGTAAACTTATCCCCCATTAAATGTTTTACTTTAGAATATTAAATTATTTGCAAGTCAGCTTTTGTTGCATTGCTTAGCTACCTTTTGCAAACTAATAGTAATTTATAGATTATTTTGTCCAAAATATATTCAGGGAACACTCAAAAGTGTGATTACTGATGATAAAATGCTTCATATAGCAGTAGCTACATTTAACAATCTTACTCTGCACCGTTTTTTATAGTGAGGATTACTGTTCAGAAAGGTTTTCTTTTTCTAGAGACTGATTAATGAAAAATCAATGTTTCCAGATTGTCTCTGTTATCATTTTACATCTTTAACTTTTTTTAAAAACTTTTTGTGTTTGCGATTTCTTCACATGTTGACATTTAATTTTATTGTTTGAATCAGCTGCAAGAAGACGAGTTGCGAGATGCTTTACTGCTGGTGTTTGCCAACAAACAGGATCTTCCTAATGCCATGTCCTGTGCAGATATCACATCCGCCTTGGGCTTACAAAACATGAGAAACAGAAAGGTAAGCAAACAAATTATTGAGCTTTGTGATCAACTTTGCTAATTCACCTTATCTCTTTAAAACTGTATTTTTATCATACATATTTCCAGTATTATAATTTTCATGGTTTAAGCTAACTTCCTTCAGTTGGCACTCCAAACTGCCAAAATTTGAGGTTTCTGCTCATTTCCATTACTTTTTCACCTCTTTCCACCACCAAAGTTTTCACCAAATACAAATGGTATGTTTAGAAGGCTAAACTTAAGTTCTACCATAATTTTTTGTTTATGTATTAAAAGGGGGAAAATACATGTTTTTGTATCTGGAGGAACATCACTACATTGATTTTTAGTGGCAAAAAAAAAGACCAGTTTTTACCCCTACCTTATTCTGATGCTTTGCCATGCGACTATGAACTCTAAACTTAGTTCAACCTATATGGGATGACCTTTAGTCTCGTATAAAATGTTAATACATTTTTTTTTAAGAAAAATGGCCTGTTTCTTAAATTTTCTCCAAAAAAAATTGAATTTTCACCAAAATCCAGTAAAAATACGAAATTTCTTCTACCATGATTAGAGCATATTATATCAATATAAAATCAGCTAAATATTCAAGAGAATGTAATAAAATATTAAAAGTTGTTGAGTATTTTACTTTTAAACTAGTAACATGTAAAATTTGAATATATTTTGTAAAAGGTCACAGAAGTACAGAAAATTGCGATACGAACTAATTATCACATTTTAACTATCCAAACTGATATAATTCAAGTGGTATATATATATACACAGGCATACTTTTTTACCGTTTTTCTTCTATCTTCATTTATGTGTCATAATTTGCTACAAATTACTGTCAAAATTAGGTCCCTACCTGTAAACTGGGCACGATTTTAGACATGGTGCATTTTTATTAGCATTCTTCACTGTTTTAACACTAAAAAATTTTACTGAGAATATTTCTTATTTTAAGTAGTTAACTGTAGTTTTATGTAATTAGCTTTTTTTTAAATATCCAAATTGATTTTGTAGTTTTCTATCAATTTTAAAATACTGGCATTTAACTACTTGATTTATACCACTCAATTCAATTTATATAATTAGGTGACGTTTTCCTCTTTAAATCTATATAAAGTTTACTATTGTGGATGCAATAGATGAATTTTGGTGATTTTGCGTTTTTTTCCCGTCTGTTCAAAGTTTTGATGAAAAATGGTGAATTACCTTTTTTAAAGACAAAACTTTTATTTGTGAAACTTGTTTGAAAAAATTGGGTCTTCAGTTGATCTACTGAAGTTAGACTATAGAATGGATACAGCTTTTATAGTTTTTGAGATAATTTGTGCTAAAGTCAGATCCTCATGAGGCAGAAAAGGGTAAAAAAAAACAACTCGTTTCTAAAGCACATAACTTTTTTTCTAATTGTCCTACAGACATAAAATTGGTATCCACATTCCTAAAATCATTAGTAGGCCTACTATCAAAAAAAAAAAAAAATTCAGTAAAGCAATTATTCTTAAGTGTGTTGGATATTGAATTATAAGTAATTTATCAACTGGTAAAAATATGAGTATTTTTACCAAAATAGGGTTTTTAAAAACGTGGAACAAAAATAATTCTAGTCTTGTAGGTTATCAGATTGAAAATGTTGCCTTCAAGATTTTTAAACTTTTTGTCAGATGTTTTTGTTAAGTGTTAATTCAGAAAAATTCATTTTCTATTAAAATACTTAAAGTATAATTTTAATTTAAAAAAAACTGTATATTGTAGAAATCTTTGCTATTACATTATTATATTCAGAATTTATTTAATTTTTTCAAAGAGATTAAATGAAAACTTCTATACATCCTCACAAATTTATTGAGATAACACAGTATTTCTTACTGTACATTCAGATTTATATGTTATATTAGCGCTATAACTTTATTGTGGCTGGCGCAAATTTTATTACTTAGAAATAGGTATAATTTAGAAGTTAATGTGCTGTGTTTTCTTTTCTCTAGTGGTATATCCAAGGTGCCACTGCCACGCAAGGAACTGGGTTGTATGAAGGTCTGGACTGGCTATCAAACGAACTCTCCAAGTGATTCTCACCTGTCTGATCACCCATCATCGCCATCATCACATTGCCCGGGTTTACTTTGTTGACTGTCTGTGTCTGTTGTTATACTGATGTCATCTAATGGGCTGGTGCCTCCCTATAGCAAATACTATGTACAAATCACACCATTCATTGTTTTATTCACACTGTTTTAGGGATGTAATTCTGTGCAATCTTCCCTCTTGGTGCACTCGTTAATTTATTTATTGTTTGGTGCACTTGGTAGGGTTAAGGGGGACAACTGTATGAGTAGCCACTGCCCTTCATGTCCAAATATGTTTGATCATATACAAAAACTGGACCATTTTTTTTTTCTCTGGGAATGACTGAAATAAAAGAATCAACATTTTTATGGACTCAGTTCAATTCATAGCTTTCTTGTTGTTTGTGATGAGTAAATTCACATTGAATTGTTTGTGTCCAAGTATTTTAGTGGGCCTTATGGAGTATTACAGTTTAGTTTGTACTAAATTGTTGTATGTGTTATATAGGCTTGAAGGAGATAAGTGGTCTCTATCATGGCAATAGAGTGGTGTTGGGGTGGTTCAGTAGATGGCTGTCAGCAGTTGGGTTTGATCCTCTGCACAAGATACGTTAGCTTTAGGTCATGAATGATATTGCGTTACTGTCACATGCAGATCTTTGAATACGACAACAGTGATGTTGGTTATATGAAGTTTAATTTATCATAAGAGTCTATTGGTAAAATTTCTGTTGGTATATGCTGCTTAGTTTTGTATCTGTTTCCAGGAGGCCAATTTATTGTTCTTGTTTCTCTATTAGATCCAGGGGTCAGTTAATTGTGATTGTATTGTGTCAAATAGTTTTGATTGAATGGCTAGTCAGCACCCATTGATCCTGTAGTTTGTCTATATCACAATGTGCATGTTGTGTGTACACGACTCCAAGCTGTACAGTTATCTTTTTTATTATCGAAGGACATTCATATTTTCTTCTATTGTATTTGCAAGCGGTAGTTTCCTTTAGTTATATCAGGGCTAGTGATACCATTTAGAGAATAACCTTAAAAAATGTTTAGGAAATTAAAATTGTGTGTAAATCTATTTAAAAAAATAACTCTTAAAAACAATCTTAGAAAAAGAGATAAAAGAATCCTGCCCCTATAGTTGGAATATATTTTATAGATCCGTGAGTGTGTGGAAGATCCACGGGCAGTTTTAGGTAGAAAATTCTTGAGTACAAGATCTAGGATGAGCCAATGGTGACAGTGGCATATGATGATGATGAAAATTGTACAGTCATTCACCTTTTTCTTGGAGATATTCTTACATTCCAGCCTAATGGAATCTAGATCATGTGATGTCACCAAATTGTTTGTATAAAAAAATACATTGTATCTATTTTCTTTTTATTTGATTTAATAATGCTTGTGTCTGTGTCAAGGGAGGATTACTCTATGAGTAAATTAGCTGATATCATTCTTTTTTTTTTCTTCTATTCTTAGAGGTGTATTTATGTGTAGTTTTGTATGATAATAAAATAGCAACACAATTTTCTTTGTATCAAGTATAATCAAGCACATTGGATATCGCAATCAAGTCGTGTTTCAATTACTGACCTGTTGATTCGCAGACCTTGTAGGTCAGTTTCTCGATTTAACAACAAAGGCCAGCGCCAGTTGGTGATTAACATTTTATCTGGCCAGTTGGTGATGAAACAGCCGTTTTTCTTGTGATGAGACATTGAATGTGATGCCTGATGCAAGTCTGGGATACTCTGGGGTTTTTTAAATAGTTTTTTTTTGTCTACATACTTTATATTTTGGCAGTTTTATGAACTCGTGTAAGTAGGGCTGGTGTTTGTCTTCACGCAGAAAGTCTGTGTCAGCTGGTTGGTGGCACAGCAGTGTGCACTGGAGTGTGTTGACACGTGTGTGTTAACTGGCAAGTTGACACGGCCGTGTTATCACTGACTGTTGACTGATTTTTTCTTTAGTTTACAGCTTGATCAGAACAGAGGGCAGATATTGTTTATGGAACTTCTACTTTATAAAAAACACATTAAACTGATGAAATTGATTTGGTTTTTATTTTTTCTGTTTATATTACGAGAAAAATTGGAACTTCTCAACCAGCGATACCCTACCTAATTCCTAATATACGAATCTGCAAGGTGGTACATTCCTTAAGTCACAAGGGGTACCTTGCAAGAAAAACCATTTTAATGGTACCTAATTTGACAGCACTGATGTGGCGATACAGCCTTTAAAAAAATAGGGGCCTACAGTTTTAAAGAATAAATGTCTGACCCGACTAGGTTGTCAACTTACTTAAGACAGTTTACCTTCCTAACCCATTTACTCAGGCTGAATCAAGTTTTTAACTAACTCTTTAAAATGTTACACCAGGCACTAGATGAGGCTGGAATCATCAGATAAGTTATTGGACCGAGACACTAACTGTTCTTAAATAACCAAGTATTGTTGTCTAGTTTCAACATATAGCCGTAGTTTTGACTTGATCGACGTGGATGTGTACCAGATGTAGGTAAGGTCACAATCCAAGTTGCACTACGTTGCTGGTTTCTAGGCCTAGCTGTAGACTGCTTAAGTCCATGAATCACATGTTGCTAAAATGGCTAAATGAAGTAAAAAAAAGTTCGGTTGCCGGAAAATTTTTATCGATATGCGTCCATCACACGGATTGCGTTGTAAACTAGTCTACCAATTAAAACATAAGGTATACGAAACCGGCTGCATAATACTTTTATTTGAAACTCTTTCTCATAGTTCTTTAAAAAAACAATTTAAATATTCACTACATTTGAAACTGTTCAAAAATATTTAGTTTGAGCATACACACTCCAACTTTATATCTAAGGTGTCTTGTGTTCGGCTATTTGGTTACTTCCCTTACATCGATCATTTGTGGAAGAAATTTATTTTAAGCTGCGGATGTATTGTGAACACAATTCAATGACATCATCGCGAAAATGGCGAAAACATACTCTCAAAGAGCGCAAGGTCATAGGAATCCATATTGCCAAAATGGCTGCCTTTATACACAAATACACGGTTTAAGTCCTGTTTAACTACTTCGGTGGTTCTTTTTTAAAACATCTGCATCGAGTCATCTAAGCACTGGGTTAGCCACTAACAGATCATGTTGAAACAAAATCAGGCAATTTCCGTCGCGTCTGGTCTAGTTGATGAGAGTGTAAGTAAACAGGAAGGCTTCGAGTTACTCCGTTTCTCAGGCCTGTGTACAGTCGTAGCAAGATGGTGACTGACCTGCGTAGGCCTCGTCTGACAGCCCAAGCCATCTGCATCACTCTACTGCTCAACTCCCTTTCAACATCTTATGCCACCACCATCTGCCCTGCTGGTTTTATGCCTCCAGACTGTGCCCAACAGTGTAAAGACGGGCACTATGGTGCAAATTGTGTGTCACCCTGTCCTAGCTCCTGCCTCAACCGCTCTTGCCGCCCACAGAATGGTGAGTGCTACAAATGCATCCCTGGACTCACGGGCAGCAGATGCTCAGAGCAATGCCCTAAAGGTTTTTTTGGGCAAGACTGCAAGCAACCCTGCCCGACGGGTTGTCAAGACAACCTGTGCGACCCTTTCGTCGGCGCGTGCCTTCAGTGCCTCCCCGGCTACAGTGGCACCAAATGTGAATCTCTCGTCCCGGTGCCGGGTAGCCACGCCTTCAAACAGCCCACCGACGAGAGCACCCGAACTGCGAACAAGAACTCCATGTTGTACATGATTATAGCGGCCGTCTTATTTTCCTTGCCCGGCTGCATTTGGCCTTGTTGGGTGTGTTATTTCAAGAAAAAAAAACAACTCTCAGAATCCAGCCCAAAAAAACATGTTTACAAACCACTAAACACGGACGATGGGCTGCAGACAAACGCCTCAGCCATAAAAGGGAACCCAGAATCACATCTGAATTTTAAAGATGCACGGGAACCCAAGCGGGGTAGAGGTGAAAAACGAAAACCCTCTACACGAAATTCGCCCTCTCCGCCGTCGAAAACAACGAAAAACACTTTCGGTTACTACAGCATACGGACTAAATCCTCGACGGGCGTGCATGTTGAGAGCAGCTTCCAAAACAAGGACCAGCTGACCGACGAGACTTTGGAGCTTGGTGGCTTTTTGAAAAATTTCGACCACAATAAGGTTCTTAATGAAAACCGACCACTCGACGTGAAGAAAGCAGCGAACTACACGGATAATTTATATTTTAAAACCTCAACTAAAACCGCGAGTGTGGCCTCTGCAAGATCGGAAAAATCCGATGTACAATCTATTAATAGAGACGATCACATACCCAAGAGTGGGAGTACTCGTGGGGCGGAAAGTAAAAATAACGCTGGTGACAATTTGAGCCTGTTGACCCGTGGGGGCGTCATTGGTCAACATCCGGCCCAACACACTATTGCTGTGCAGACAGTCCAGTGCGAGTTAGAGCTAGATGAAACGCGTGGTAAACAAGACTCGCCGGAACATCCTGCGCATGCGCGTAGGGGTACTAGACAAAAGAGATCGTTTATGACACGCGTTTGGGGGAGGTTTGCAAAGGTGAGAGCTTTAAATCAACGGACGAATAGGTCTAACCAACATCATCCTACAGGTAGGTGCCTGACTTCATCCAACAGGTAAGTGCCTGACGTCATCATACAGGTAGGTGCCTTACATCATCATACAGGTAGGTGCCTGACATCATCATACAGGTAGGTGCCTGACATCCTACAGGTAGGTGCCTTACATCATCATATGCTTGACATCATTATACAGGTAGGTGCTTGACATCATCATATGCTTGACATCATTATACAGGTAGGTGTCTGACATCATCATACAGGTAGGTGCCTGACATCATCATACAGGTAGGTGCCTGACATCATTATACAACTAGGTGCCTGACATCCTACAGGTAGGTGCCTTACATCATCATATGCCTGACATCATTATACAGGTAGGTGTCTGACATCATCATACAGGTAGGTGCCTGACATCCTACAGGTAGGTGCCTGACATCATTATACAGGTAGGTGCTTGACATCATCATATGCTTGACATCATTATACAGGTAGGTGTCTGACATCATCATACAGGTAGGTGCCTGACATCCTACAGGTAGGTGCCTGACATCATTATACAGGTAGGTGCTTGACATCATCATATGCTTGACATCATTATACAGGTAGGTGCCTGACATCCTACAGGTAGGTGCCTGACATCATCATACAGGTAGGTGCCTGACATCATCATACAGGTAGGTGCCTGACATCCTACAGGTAGGTGCCTGACATCCTACAGGTAGGTGCCTGACATCATCATACAGGTAGGTGCTTGACGTCATCCTACAGGTAGGTGCCTGACATCCTACAGGTAGGTGCCTTACATCATCATTCATATAGTAGCTTTACAACAACATACAGGTAGGGCTTTATATAACCAGATATGTATCCTACATAAAAAAAAAACGTTCGTGTGTTACATTTTCATTTGTTAGGAATCTTACATTATTATATATTACCGAAGATTAAAAAAAAAGAATGTAAATTGTCTTACGGGCACTCTAAAACAACCACATATTCACTATAAAACTACGTTATGTTCCTTACAGTTGTGTTCAGTATAAAACTACGTTATGTCACTTACAGTTGTGTTCAGTATAAAACTACGTTATGTTCCTTACAGTTGTGTTCAGTATAAAACTACGTTATGTTCCTTATAGTTGTGTTCAATATAAAACTACGTTATGTTACTTACAGTTGTGTTCAGTATAAAACTACGTTATGTTCCTTATAGTTGTGTTCAATATAAAACTACGTTATGTTCCTTATAGCTGTGTTCAATATAAAACTACGTTATGTCCCTTATAGTTGACCAAAAGACGTTCAAGTAAAAACGATCCAGAGGCAATCAAGACAAAAGAACAATCTAAGAGTACCAAACAAACAGCCACAGAAAATCAGGCTACTGCAGGTAATTAAGTCAGAGATTAGCGCTAGGTTAATGATCCAGTGGATTAACAGATTTGAACATCAGTGTACTGCAGGTAATTAAGTCAGAGATTAGCGCTAGGTTAATGATCCAGTGGATTAACAGATTTAAACATCAGGCTACTGCAGGTAATTAAGTCAGAGATTAGCGCTAGGTTAATGATCCAGTGGATTAACAGATTTCAACATCAGGCTACTGCAGGTAATTAAGTCAGAGATTAGCGCTAGGTTAATGGTCCAGTGGATTAACAGATTTGAACTTGTGGTTAATCTTAACCCGCACTGTTTCAAGTGTCTCAACTGGAAAAGTCGTAACAAAAAGGCTGTGGCAGACATGTAGTTAGTGCCGCCTTAACCCCCCCCCCCCCCCACACACACATTTGATTGCAATAAGTGGTGAGTTTTTCTTATTATGAAACCTTATCTGATATATGTATAAAATGTACATGAAAGAGATGCTTCATCCACGTATTTTCTTTGTCTACGTCTAATATTATGAGTAAGTGGGATTTTTTAAAGTGGAGACAACGCCTATAGTAAATGTTTAATTTTATATTCTTACTCTTTTTTATGGGCACAACGATTTGACCCTACTGTTTTTGTTTTCTTTCTCGCCCCTCCCCCTCCCCTCCCCCTCCCCTCCCCTCTCTCCTTGGTTCCAGACCAGTACACGTGTGTGGACGAGGCCAATGACCCCGTGTATAACGAGACCACACAACCAATCACGCGTGAAAGTTCAACACAGTCGAAAGCTTTGGATCCAAGGAGGTTCAAGAGGAGATCGAATCGAGCTCAGAGCTTTGCTAAACTAACCCAGACTGAGCTTGGCACCGAGTCCCGTGTTCTGTCAGACAGCGGCTGTAAGGAGGCGGAGAAAACAGGAAGTGAACGTGAGCTAGCGAGCGTCCGTCAAGTGAGCTTTTCCAACCCTCATTCTCGTGCCTCTAGCCATCCAAGCAAACCGGACGGCTACGAATCAAACGGTGGTATTGCTCAAGAAAATGACGTCAGCAAGCAAAGAAACACTAACCCTGAGGGCAAAACGCTGGGAACTTCCCGCCAATCTGCGAGTCTGCCAGATTACGCCGTTAACTACCCTCACGAAACATCCGGGAAATCTCTTCAAAACGGAAGATCAAGCCCCGTTCTACAAAACACAGAGCCTGCTTTGACAGCCCATGGAGACTGTCGGAAAGAAGAGCAGCGCCTCAGTCATTTGGCCTCCGTCAAAAAGGTGCCCGGCGAAGCAGAGGGTAGAAAAAATCCGAATAAGACATTTGTTGTGAACTCGCCCCAGAAGCTGATCAAAAAATACGCAAGCCGTAGCATGGGAGACATCAGTACTAGCGGCATGTCCTGCGGCTTAAACAAACCTGATCCCATCCACTCGGAGTACAAGCCATACACCATGGACCCCAACTTGCACGAGCCAATTCCGGTGTTGTTGTACCCGTCCCAACACTACGCCACGCTGGGAAGCTGTTCCAGGGAGGCTGCGCAGACCTTCACAGTTCAACAAGCGACACGCCAGCAGATATGTTACCTTAATAACTACCCAGTCTTCCCTGATATATTTCTCAACGAAGCAATGTATCGCTGCAACATGTTTAGCAGCCTGCACCCAACAAAACCCCCGGCAAAAGATTCCAATCCTCCCCCCAGAATTCCCAACTTGCAGGGGCATAACTGTAACGATGACACAAGCACGGCAAGTGCTTCGATATCCGAACTGGGGCCCACAGTGAGCGAATCGCGTGACGTTGGCACCAGAATAATGGGCCCGCAGCAAAAGAGCAAGACCCGAGAAGGTCACGCAAACCGGAGCAAGCAAAGAGATTCTGAAGACTCGACCTTACTGAACAACACAGTCCCAGACGTGTTTAACGACATGATTGTAACCAAACATCGACCGCCGATTGATAAATACCATTCTCTTGAGGGCCATAAATTCCTAAAGTCTCCCAATTCCCCGTTTGTTGCCCCACCACCGACCGTCTCCCCGGCGATGGCTTACGAGCAGGTCAGGCAGCAGGGGGACACCAGGGATGAAATTCTCCACAGCTTGCATCAGCTGAGGGAACAACACCCCGACCTATTCCTTAACCCAAAGTTAGGTTTGGAACCCGGATATCTCATGAATGACCCGGTGTCGAAACAAGTTTTCGAACCAGGACAAACCGTAAAACACGGCGACACAGACAAAAAAAGCGAACTTGAAAATCTTTCCCAGAAGCTCAAATATTCCGAGTGTTGCAAGCGTTCATCCCGACACCGTAACGTTCAACCGCCTGGAAATCAGCAAACACAAAGGCAGTGTTCAGACGGCCGGAACCAAACGATGAAACCTACAGGGAAACAACTCAAATCAGTTCCAGAAAACAAAGACATCGATGACGATTCCTTCTTCAACCCGTTGTCTTCGACCGCACAGAAATCCTTGTTTGGCACGTATAAAAAAAGTAGCCGGAAAACTAAAGTCGATTCCGGATCGTCATCCCTGTCATCGGATAGCACATGGGACAACACGGATACCAGTGCCAGGATCTCTGAGATAGCCCGACAAGCGGAGAGCTATTCCAAGACGGTCTCTCAGAGACACCAGACAAAAAGTGCTGCCATCAAGCCGGTTCAGAAAATTGTCAAACCTAAACCAAAGGTTGTAGCTGCCCCTAAATTACCATCAACCCCGAAACCAAAGATAGAAACTAATTCTAAACAAAAATCTAACCCTCCCAAAAAAATACAAAAAGTTGGCAAAGACAAGAAACCTCCGCCGACATCATCATCATCAGAAACATCATCCTCAGAAGATGACAGCAGTACTGAACCAGTGCAGAGATCCCCAAAGCCTAAAACCACCAACTCCGCCGACGCTAAGCAAAATGCTAAAAGCCCCAAAAAGATCAATGTCAAAGTTCAAGCTAAGCCTAGCCCTAAAGTAGATAAAACTCCTTGCCATTCCCCACCCAAGCAGTCGGTAACGAAGCCGGCCAAGAAGGAAGACGTGCAGAAAAAAGAGGACAAAAATAGTACAAGTGCTAAAAGTCCCAAGGAGATGAATGTCAAATTTGAGGATAAGAAAGGCCCCCGCGATGCCAAAACTCAACAACGGTCTCCGGACAGCAAGTCGACTGTAACTAGCGCCAATAAAACGGAAGTCAAGAAAAAAGCGGCGCCGATAAAAATATTAAGTCCTAAGACTATGAGTCCTAACGCGGCGCTGATAAAAATATTAAGTCCTAAAACTATGAGTCCTAACGCGGCGCTGATAAAAATATTAAGTCCTAAAACTATGAGTCCTAACGCGGCGCTGATAAAAATATTAAGTCCTAAAACTATGAGTCCTAGACAGGATACACTCAAAATCAAACCCGAAAGCCCAAAATCTCAACAACAATCAACAGCCATGACAGCCCAAACTTCCAAACACATTGTCAAAGAGTTGCAAATTGTAACTGAACAGACCGGTGCTCAGACTAAGAAACAGAACGTGGCGGAGAAAAGCAAATCGCCGCTACAGAGAAATGAATATTTTCCTGGCCAAGGGGACAACGTTGTCGTGACGGACATTATAATTGCTGTACACAACCAGAAAAATACACCCCAATCCGAGAGATCATACATCAGCACCGTCAACCAAAATCTACGTTCCGACTGTATATCCACCGTTAGGATCGTCTCACCACAGGTGAAGCAAAGCGAGTTGAAAACCAAATCGGAGATTGATTCTAAAATAATTATGTACCAAGTTAACAACAAAGACGCGCGTAAGGAAGTTGACAAGCGGCAGGGGAAGAGTCCAAACACAGTCCGCGTCCTGCTGCCACAAGAAAAACAAGCTCAACACGAGAAGAAAAAACAAAAAAAATCCACTTCCGGTTTGAGAGAGTCTGGTAAAGACACGTCAAGAAACAAATCTTCGCCTTTAGAGTTGTTTGAAGCAGACGCCAGGTCCAGCGCGCATCCTGCAGACGGGGAGGTGCAGCAGTCGCTCGACTACTTTGTGCTGTGTCCCGTGGAGCAGCTGCCCGGGGGGCAGGTGGTGGACAAGCAGACCAGGGGCGAGCACCTGATGAGCAACGCAACCAGCTTCCACTACGTTCTCCGGTCGCCCCAGTCTCTAAGGACCACGCCTGAAATGGCCAGCAAAAACTCGGCGCACTCGACAGGAAGAGACTGGACATGCGAGCCGGGGATGGGGATGTACCCCATCCCCTCCCTGTTGGAAGATGTCGTCAAGCTAGACACCGTCTACAGCGAATCAAGTTTCTCCCACGTGGAAGAGAGGCTGATACTGAGCGACGGGAACAGGGTCAGGTCCAACATATCGAAGCCCCAATCCATCATCATCGACAACAGGTCTTGTCCAATCCGTTACCAAGCTTACGGTCCGGGAAAAGAGTCTCGCTGCCACAGCTTGCCGGCTCAGGTGTTTATGGTGGACCCGCTGTCTAAAAATGTTGTCCCACAAGGCGAGGGGTATAAAGCGGATGCAGCACATTGTCCGCCTGGTGAAGCAGCCCAGTCTAGAATCTTCCAACTGCCCAACACAGCCCACGGCACCAAGCTCAACTTTTATCGAAGACAAGGGACAGAAAACTCCGAACCGCAAAAAGACGAAAGCACGGAGCAGTTCAAGTCGGTGATAGACGAGGACTCGGATTGTTTCTTCGACGCCATGGAACACCGGGACTCGTACTCGTACGACAAGCACATGGACACCACCTGTCTGTCGTCGGGAAAGCACAGCATACCGTTTGACCAGAGAAGGAAAAATAACAGCAAAAGCGACCCAAACGACGCTAAAACGAAACGGCCGAAAACAGGTCAAAAGAAACTCAATTGCGCGTTCAGGTTTGCCTCGACCCAAACAGCCAAAGATGGCGCCAGTTCCGTTAACAAACCCAAAGAAGGTGCTAGCTCGACGAACAAACACAGAGAGGGGTCCACATCCGGGAAGAAGAAACCCTCGTGTTCTGAAGAATCCTCCAACAACGCTCAGACAAAACAAGCCAAGAAAACTTTGAAGACACGAGGAAGGAAGGGATTAACAGAAGATACTGCGGTGTACACGACAAAACACCCCAAAATCGAGTACACAACCAAGGAACAACGTGATCTGTTGAGGGGAAAAGAAAAACACGGACTGGATTATTGCACCTCAAACGCCACGAGAGAAACTCTGGACTTCTTACAAACGTCACTAGATGAAATGTATTTAGCACCAAGCTATGTGCTTAGAGAACATTCTGGAGAAAACATTTACATGAGTAGGAAATATAGTAGAAATGCTAAGTCGAATCCACCAGAAGCCACGTCTAAATCAGCCGACAGTTTATACCCAACGTCTAAACCAGCCGACCGTTTATACCCAACGTCTAAAACAGCCGACCGTTTTTACCCAACGTCTAAAACAGCCGACAATTTGCAAGTATCGTCTAAAGAAGATGATATTGTGTACACAGCGTGTAAAGCAGATGATCGTGTGTACACAGCTTGCACAGAACTGGACAAAACGAAAGCCACGAAACGCCTCCACCCTGACGTCTTCTACGACGCCTCCTGGCACAGCTGAGGGTGGAGGAGGGTGGAGGAGGGTGGAGGAGGGTGGAGGAGGGTGGAGTTGATCTTAACAGACACGGCCTGGACTGGACCTGACGCACAGACGACCCACGTGACCGTAAATGACCTAAGTCAAGCAGCCACGACTTAAGTCGATCAGCTGACTAAATCCATTAGACTTACAAAGAAGTTTTAACGACTGAATTTGGTTGCTAACTCAGAGTGAAGAGATCGGGAAATCTCGGGAAAGCTCGGGAAAACTCGGGAAAGCTCGGGAGGGCACGGGTTCACATAGTCTCGGATACTTCCTGCCATCACTGACTGACAAATCGTCTGGAACTTTTGATCTGACTACAGGAAACAGGCACTAATCAATTCATGTTTTGATGACCTCGAAAGATGAACCGTAAACTTTAAATGACTCAACTTGATCTCACGGAAGTCGATTTTTGTATTTGATGTATACATTTTATAATAAACAACAAAATTCATTTTTAACTATTGTAAAAAATATACAATTTTATTTCTATTTATATCCTATATAACTTACACATTACTACAGTAAACTACAAAATGTAACAAAACATAGTCTAAATATCTGTCGTCATCTCTTGTTTGAAAGCTATTTGATTGGACAAAGTTGATTAAGTTAAAGCATTCAGTCCTACGGCCGACGGTGTTATTATTTACATTCGTAATTAACATCTCATCCAGCTCCGACTTTAAGAATTTCATTTGTCAACTGAGTCAAGTTTATGCAGTACAGAAGCGGTTCAACTATTCTTATCTAAACACGGAGTATTAAAAGATAAAATACTTCAAACTTTAATATCACAATCGCTGACCTTCTTGGTAACGCTTTCACCGACTCGGTAACAACAAAAGTCACAACAATTTGACCACGCGAACAGGTACCACGTTATGACGTCACAGTTGGCTTATTTTCCCGCGCAAAAAGTGAACAGCCTCCACTCATGACGTAAGCGTTGGCCTATTTGGCCATGCAGAAGGCGTCGCGAGGAAGGGGGTCGCCAAAACAACACTGCTGGAAGGCGGGCTGGAACTGCTTCTTCCCACAGCAGGAGTAGGCGGGGGTCTTGGGGATGGCGTTTCCTTCATCGCAGCAGACGTGGGTCAGGGGGTTGAACATGTGTTTCCCACAGCACTGAAACAGTGGTGACAGGGTTAGGTTAAACAGTGGTGACACGGTTAGGTTAGATAGTGGCAGTGCTGACACGGTTAGGCTAAACAGTGGTGAAACGGTTAGGGTAAACAATGGTGACACGGTTAGGTCAAACAGTGGTGACACGGTTAGGTTAAACAGTGGTGAAACGGTTAGGTTAGATAGTGGCAGTGGTGACACGGTTAGGTTAAACAGTGGTGACACAAGTAGGTTAAACACTGAGATTGGTGACACAGCTGGTTGAAACATTGAAATTGATGATACAGGTAGATTAAACACTGATAGTGGTGACACAGGTTAAACAGTGAGGTTGGTGGCAGGTTAAACATTAACAGTGGTGAGACAGTTTGGTTAAACACTGACATTTATGATACTTTTAGGTTAAACACAGCACTGTACAAGTGGTGACTCACGTCCAAGTGTGGTTGGCCAGGGGTTCTGGGTCTGACCCCCTCTCCACAGCACATCTGGTGGATGGGGTCGTAAGGGGTCTTTCGACAGCACTTCATGTTTCTGCCAGGATTTCTGCGGACAAAGCAACACATCACCACATCACCACATCACCACATCACCCCTTCATATCTTCATATTGCCACATCGCAGATGTTCACCAAAATGGTGTAGATCGGGGGACACAATCGTTTACCCATGAAACGGAGACAGACGGTTTTTTTCATGGATGTGTTCATTGAAATATCAACAACTGTCACAACACACATGACCCAATTAACTCACGGAACAAGGAACTTGTCACAACACACAAGACCCAATCAACTCACGGAACAAGGAACTTGTCACAACACACTTGACATGATCAACTCAGGGAACTTGTCACAACACACATGACCCAATCAACTCACGGAACAAGGAACTTGTCACAACACACATGACCCAATTAACTCACGGAACAAGGAACTTGTCACAACACACATGACCCAATCAAGTCACGGAACTTGTCACAACACATATGACCCAATCAACTCAGGGAACATGGAACTTGCCACAACACACATGACCCAATCAACTCACGGAACTTGTCACAACACACATGACCCAATCAACTCACGGAACTTGTCACAACACACATGACCCAATCAACTCACGGAACTTGTCACAACACACACAACACACATGACCCAATCAACTCACGGAACTTGTCACAACACACACAACACACATGACCCAATCAACTCACGGAACAGGGAACTTGTCACAACACACATGACCCAATCAACTCATGGAACAGGGAACTTGTCACAACACACATGACCCAATCAACTCACGGAACTTGTCGCAACACACATGACCCAATCAACTCACGAAACACGGAACTTGTCACAACACACATGACCCAATCAACTCACGGAACTTGTCACAACACACATGACCCAATCAACTCACGGAACTTGTCACAACACACATGACCCAATCAACTCACGGAACTTGTCACAACACACATGACCCAATCAACTCACGGAACTTGTCACAACACACACAACACACATGACCCAATCAACTCACGGAACAGGGAACTTGTCACAACACACATGACCCAATCAACTCATGGAACAGGGAACTTGTCACAACACACATGACCCAATCAACTCACGGAACTTGTCACAACACACATGACCCAATCAACTCACGGAACTTGTCGCAACACACATGACCCAATCAACTCACGAAACACGGAACTTGTCACAACACACATGACCCAATCAACTCACGGAACTTGTCGCAACACACATGACCCAATCAACTCACGAAACACGGAACTTGTCACAACACACATGACCCAATCAACTCACGGAACTTGTCACAACACACATGACCCAATCAACTCACGGAACTTGTCACAACACACATGACCCAATCAACTCACGAAACACGGAACTTGTCACAACACACATGACCCAATCAACTCACGGAACTTGTCACAACACACACAACACACATGACCCAATGAACTCACGGAACAGGGAACTTGTCACAACACACATGACCCAATCAACTCATGGAACAGGGAACTTGTCACAACACACATGACCCAATCAACTCACGGAACTTGTCGCAACACACATGACCCAATCAACTCACGAAACACGGAACTTGTCACAACACACACAACACACATGACCCAATCAACTCAGAGAACATGGAACTTGTCACAACACACATGACCCAATCAACTCACGGAACTTGTCACAACACACATGACCCAATCAACTCACGGAACTTGTCACAACACACATGACCCAATCAACTCACGGAACTTGTCGCAACACACATGACCCAATCAACTCACGAAACACGGAACTTGTCACAACACACATGACCCAATCAACTCACGGAACTTGTCGCAACACACATGACCCAATCAACTCACGAAACACGGAACTTGTCACAACACACATGACCCAATCAACTCACGGAACTTGTCACAACACACATGACCCAATCAACTCACGGAACTTGTCACAACACACATGACCCAATCAACTCACGAAACACGGAACTTGTCACAACACACATGACCCAATCAACTCACGGAACTTGTCACAACACACACAACACACATGACCCAATGAACTCATGGAACAGGGAACTTGTCACAACACACATGACCCAATCAACTCATGGAACAGGGAACTTGTCACAACACACATGACCCAATCAACTCACGGAACTTGTCGCAACACACATGACCCAATCAACTCACGAAACACGGAACTTGTCACAACACACACAACACACATGACCCAATCAACTCAGAGAACATGGAACTTGTCACAACACACATGACCCAATCAACTCACGGAACTTGTCACAACACACATGACCCAATCAACTCACGGAACTTGTCACAACACACATGACCCAATCAACTCACGGAACTTGTCACAACACACATGACCCAATCAACTCACGGAACAGGGAACTTGTCACAACACAATGTTGTGGTGGGGTCGTAGAGCGACATCCCGCAGCACATCATTGGCGGGGATCCCTTGGGGGGTCGGGGCACGGGGATGTCCCCGCAGCACACCTGGGTTGTCATGTCGTACATCCCCTTGTGACAACACCCCCACTGCTGGGGTCCTGGTGGGATGATCTGCAATCAGGTGGGATTATCGGGATACAGACAGGTGAGATTATCGGGATACAGACAGGTGAGATTATCGGGATACAGACAGGTGAGATTATCGGGATACAGACAGGTGAGATTATCGGGATACAGACAGGTGAGATTATCGGGATACAGACAGGTGAGATTATCGGGATGCGGACAGATAAGATTACCTAGATATAGACAGGTGAGATTATCTAGATACAAGCAGGTAAGATTATATAGTAACAGACATGTGAGATTATCTAGATACAGACAGTTCAGATTATTTAAAATAGGTAAGATTATCAATATACAGACAGATAAGCTTGTTTGTCTTTGTATTAGACATGATTGTGTAGGCATTAAGTTGATCAATTAGTTAATTAAGATTGTGGACATATTGCGAAGAAATACGACAGATGAATCAGATACTTAAATTTGAGACACGCTAAGTATTAAGTTAATTAATTAGTTAATTAATTAGTTAATTACATTGGTGATGCCGTCACAGCACAGCTGCCCTGGCATAAAACCTCCAGAAGAACATTCTTTAGAGTGGGGCCGGTACCTGTGGACAGGAATGTATCAACTGAACATGTGTATGTAACTTTAAACTTGATTTAAAAACATCAACTAATCGTGTTCATTTAACTTCAAGCTTGATCTAAAAACATCATCTGATCATGTGTATGTCTTAGATCACTTATCCTGTGACAGCCATGTGACTTAGATCACTTACCCTCCTGGTGGAGGCCAGTACTGTTGGTTGGGGGCAGGTCCAGGGGGGTTGTACCGGCTCTGTGGGGGCCCGGGGTTGTAGTTCTGTGGGGGCCCTGGGTTATAGCTCTGTGGGGGCCCATAGCTCTGTGGGGGCCCATAGCTCTGGTAGGCCCCAGGGTTATATCCTGGGATGTCAGCGAACAGAGAATCTTGGGTGGGCGTCAGGGGTGCTGGTCTTTGAGGGGGCGCCGGCTTGGGGGGAGACGCTGGTTTGGGCGGCCAATTGAACGTCGGGAATTTAATGCTGGGGGGAGTGGGCGCCGGCGGGGGAGGGGCGTCTAGGCTAGACTTCATCAACGTCCTAAACTGCCTCTGTAGGGTCTGTAGTGCCTGGATGTAGGTGTCTGCTGCCTGCTTGTCTATGCCTGGGCCTGGGGGAGAAACAGATTTATGTCAGCATTTAAAATCGCGATCTTTGATGTGCATTCAAACATGTACATGTGTTAATTGCCCATTACCTTTGTTTATGGCATACAAAGGGGATCGTGTGATCAGCATTATGCCCAGCCATTTTTACTTACCCTAACCAAAATTAGGTACCTATAGAAGCTGGATGAACTCAAGGCTGACCCGAGATCCGAACGAACGCTCCATAGTTCAACCACGTCGTCCCACTCCCATTACCCATATACACATTTTACTTGCACATTATCCTTACCCATATATTCGTTTAGCTGCTACTCTGGTACCGGTTTTATCATACATTCTAAAGAACCTTCGATTATTAACCATAAACCCTAAACCAGTTCGAGACCAGAGATCTACCCTAACCCTAACCCTAAACTTAACCCTAACCCTAACCCTAACCCTAACCCTAACCCTAACCCTAACCCTAACCCTAACCCTAACCCTAACCCTAATCCTAATCCTAATCTTAATCCTAATCCTAATCCTAATCCTAATCCTTATCCTAACCTTGCGTGTTTAAAAGCTTTCTTTGTGGTTTCTGTTCCCCCTATATGTAGCTACGTATATCAAACACATTATCTTCATCATCATCAATACATAATCTATTAGTAAATTGGAAGGGGGGGGGGGTCTACAAATGATGTCACTCTCAAAGTAGGGTGTTGGTGTTTGTATGAAAGGAGGGTGTTGATGTTTGGGTGAATTTGTTGTAAATGGTCAGACGTTGAGGGATGGTAGGGGTGAGTGGGGTTTGTCGTATACAATGAATGTACGACCCATTAGTCATGTTTGTATGTCCAGGCTGGATTTGAACCTGAGACATTGGTTGTACTTACTCCATCCTTGACTCAACCCTTGAGGCGCCCCGCTGCTCTGGGTCGTCAGGTCGGGTTCAGGGTCTAGACACAAATTGTAAAATATTAGTTTCAAGTTTAAGTGTACATGAAGTTGTTTAAGCGGTTTTGAAAAACCGAAAGTAGGATAAGTTTCACTTCCGGTTACCGGAAATCGCTGAAAAGTTGAAACAGAACTACCAATTAGATATAATACTTATATATAATATTTCGTCAATTTAGCTGTACGTTACTCAAGTTATTGTGCTCACAGACAGATACACAGACACACAAACAGATATATGGACAAAATGGCTAAACTTTGTTTTTCCGACTCAGTGAGGTGTAAACCGTCGAGATTTGTGAAAATCTCCTTTTCCATTTTTATGCACGATTACAAGACTTCCTCTATACTCCTTATACGAGAAAGTAGATTATAATTTTATTTGTAAACCATTGTGTAAATGTAAATAGAAGAAAAAGCCCCACCCAACAAATTCTATGATAGAACTGCTCTGGAAGTCGCGTTGACCCAAGTGTAAGGTGCATATTTGCAAGTACTTGGGCCGGCTGCCCCCCCCCCCCCCTCCTCCCTCCTCCTAACGCCGCCAGCTCCAATCCTGACCGGAAGTAAGCATTAACGTGTACGCTGGCCATGTCTACCTGTCAGCCACAGAAAGCCCAAGTTCATCCTTAGACACCCCCCCCCACCTCCCCATGGAGCACGACAAGACAGGATACAAGAAGAACCAGACAAGATAATCTCTGCCTGTGTACGATTAAAACAGCCACACCGGCAACATAAAGTTCTTCGTGTTATTGTTGAACTTGGTCTTACAAACATTATGTGGCCAAATTTTAATATAATATTTGGCCAAATTTAAAAATTAGCTGCTAAAGCTGGATTAAGAAAACCAACTTATAATTTTAACATAAATCTCCTTGTTCCTTCTTGAAGCTAGTGCACGTAGTGCTAAACCTTTTGAGCTATTTTTTTTAGATTGATGCTAAAGTTGGATAATAAATCAAGCAGGTGTTACCAGATTTTAATAAAGCCAAAATTTTTCTCTTCTCGTGTTCTAGCCAAGTGTAGAAACTAGGTGGGCGACATGTAACCAGGGGACATAAATCTCTTGAATACATATGTGAAACTCTGAACTTTATGGGGGGGGGGAGGAGGGTTGAAAATAAAATCCAAATGTGCTGTTTTTTGGTCTAGGATGCAGGTAACTTCCTTGAGAAATAAACTTATTATTGTTCTTATTCGCCTCGACCTTAGATGTAAGAAGGTGGACAGATTAAATGCTAAGTTTGACCGCACGGTGGTGACGTCACACGAATTTGACCAGCCATGACTTCGTACGGTGAAGGTGTGAGGGGTAAGTGTGGCGTCAAAAAATCTGCTCTACTTTGTGCTGTTTCGAGTCCTACCACATCTTCACAGAAGAGCAATTATTTTAACCAGTTTTTCTTTCAGACATTTTTCTCCAGGGGTGGGGTGGGGGTGGAGCAAGCAATTTGTCCAGGTGGCTTAGGGGGCGAAGAGATGCCTGAATGAAATTCTTACATTTGAATTTGTTGTACATTGGTTTGACGTCTATCTAAAGTCGCTGGTAGCACAGGGCAACCACAATTAGCTACAGGCTACTTCGTGGGGTATTCGCTTATCAACATCTGTTCGGCTATTGTACACACTTTAATTAACGGACTAAAATTATAGTGAATCAGATCTGTATTAAATCCAAAGGAATACAGTACTAAAACAAAGGGAATTAATTATGTTCTAAAAAGGAATCAACTATGTGCTAAGTAAAGGGAATCAACTCTGTATTACAACAAAGGGAATTAATTAAGTTCTAAAAAAGGAATCAACTCTGCACTAAAAATTAAAAAGAAGGAAATAATTTCGGTACTAAAATAAAGGGAATCAACTCGATACTAAAACAAAGGAAATAATTTCGGTACTAAAACGAAGGGAACTAACTCTGTACTCACATAGAGCGCCGTGGCAGGATGTAGAGAGCCCGACTAGAAACACCAGAACCTGCCAGGTTGCCATCCTCGTATCGTCTGCTGCTTGACGTCTGCCCGCAGACGACAAGCTCCTCCCCCTGATGCATTTGTCACATTTTTATAGCGGCCAACGACACAGTGACAGTGACGGGCGACGATACTGGACATTCAGTATCGATACCACAAAACTAAGTTCTAACCTGTATTGTTTGCAGGTGATATAGGCCTGAAATGTTTCCAGGTGATGCAGACCTGAAATGTAGATTGTGACCTTGACATTGAATTGGCGTCGTGTGAAGTAAAATGGATGCTTTGGTCTTCTTAACAAAGTGTGATCGATTTTCAGTTTGTATATCAATCACTGATCCAGCAATCACATGACTCCACCTAGCCAATGGCCTTATGCTATCTAACTAGCACAATCTGTAAGGGATCTGGTTGTGAGGACTAGTCAAACTTTAGGTTTAGTGGTGGCGCTGAGGGGTGGGAGGGGGGGAGAGCTCAACATTTAAGGATAACAATGAGGAGTTAGAAGTATCGTGTGAGAATGTTAATCACTTATCGATACCCAAACAAGTCAAGTATCGATACGGCCAACTGAATTATTTGTAAACACAAGTGGATAAGTAGCTTTGTATCTATTGTTTTGCCGGTATCGGACTCTAGTACAACCATAACCCTAATCTTATCCGTGATTCTCAACCCGATCTCATCCCTCATCCTAACCTTAACCAGTTACAACAACACCGGAAGTAAATAAATCGTGGCGGGTTAAAGTAATGCCCAATCAACAAGTCTATAGTCACATACAAAAGAATATGTGTATGTCTTGTAGACAACATTCTTGAACTACAAACATCAAGCGAATGAAATCATGTACCCCCATCCCCCTTTAACTGTTAGCATCAAGGGGATAGTACCATGTACGCCACCTCCCCCACATAAACAAGTAACACAAAGCGAATGCTACCACGTTTTATGTCTGCCCCCCCCCCCTCACACGCACACATAAGATAAATGACAGCACGTCCACAACATGACGAGTGCCTGTAGACCACACATAAAACCTTCCCCATCTGACAGCCCCCATAAACCTTAACACAGCGAAACATCCTCCAGCGGGGATTTGAAATTCTGAACCAACGCGGACCCCATCATAAAAACAGTGCCATGATTTGTCTACATCGTGTACTCTAGTTCTATGCTGAGAGAAAATATGTAGAGTCTGGTTAAAAATGATACTGGAGTTTCTGTGCTGTTCTTATAATTGCTGTTTTTATAGTAATAGGCATATGATGTTGCTGCTGACAGGTTGTAACACAAGTTGCAGTAGAGGGGAGTGTTGTAGGAAGAGGCGTAGCGACCCTTCCCGGCGCCCGGGGACGAACTTTCGATTTGCACCCCCCTCAAACTTTCAATTAGCTTTTTCAACCCATTTTGGCGCCCCCGTAAGGTCGGCGCCCGGGGACATATGCCCCCCCCCCCCGCCCCCACCTACTCTCTACGCCTCTGGTTGTAGGTTAATCTCAGGTGACAACCCGTTTGGATGAAGCAGTGATCTATCTCAGGTAGAGTTTGTCAGAGTAACTCAGTTAAAATACAACTCGCTTTTTCAAGATAAACTGAACCATAATGAAATTTAATTAAAACTTGATTAATCTGAAAATGACGAGCAATGTCATCACTCTGGGCATTAACGATGTAACAAACACTGACATCAAAGTGGACATCTCTTTGGAGGTGGAAGGGGAGGGGGGTCAAGTAGTGTAACTAAGGGATGATGGGGGGGGTGCACATGTAAGTATTGCACTCTTCTTACGGGGTCAGCTCAAATCTAGGCTGGCGGATGTAGGACGTCATGTGCAACTGTCTCCTTGAGTCGATGTATGAGACCATGTCCTATCTTTATTTTTACAAGCTTTTATTTAGCTTGCTTCCTCTGTCGTGCTTCTATTTCTCGTGCTTCGCCCGTCAAGGGTCGAAACTTACGAGTAAAATTTCGAGCACTTCTACCGGACTGATTTCTGTCAAACATAGCGCGTAGTCCAACACCGGAAATGTATAAAGGATTATCTCTTGAAGGATGACAACTCGAGCTAGGGACATTAATTGGGAGATTAATGTATTAGCACTCTCCCCTGATTGTGAACACGACGGTTCTATAAATAGCACACGGAACAGAACCCTCTCATTAACATACATTATCTCATTAGCATAAATTACATAAATCTGTTGGGGAGATTTAAAGGCTTGAAATATTTGCCGCTATTTTGCACCATGTGTTCCGTGGGTCACATGTTTTTAAGGTCATCTTGACCTGCTAGCGACTGGCTCTGACACATGTGAAACATTAATCTGCTGTGTAATACACATTAGGTTATGTTAGGTTTGCCTGTCGTCCCTCATGGGACATAGGCCGCTGACAAGAGCTTTCCAGGTATCTCTGTCCTGGGCTAGTCTCTCCAACTGTCCCCAGGTGTATCCAATCTTCTTGGTGTCTTCTTCCAGGTCACGTCTCCAGGTCTTTCTTGGTCTGCCTCTCCTCCTCTTGCCCTGTGGATTGCGTTTCTGTAGCGAGTAATTAGTTTTACGATATAAGGTTGCTGACCTTATGCTCAACCCCCATCCCCCAATCAGGCCCATCATTAATCTGCTGTATATTATGTCAGGTTCGACATTAATCTGCTGTGTTCTACACATCAGACTCGTCTCAGAGGCGTAGCGACCCTTCCCGGCGTCCGGGGACAAAGTTTCGATTTGCACTCCCCCTCTCAAGCTTTCAATTTATTTTTCCAACCCATTTTGGCGCCCCCTTAGGTCGGCGCCCGGGGGCATATGTCCCCGTCCCCCCCGTCCCCCACCCTCGCCACGCGTCTGGCCCGTCTACACAGCCGCCATCAAAGGTGGGTGGACACACAAACGTCAAAAAACTCTGGTCCAGGATTGTAAAACACGAACCAACTACAGCATTATTGACAAGATCACTTAGTCTTGTAAACTACCACACGCTAATCTTTTAAACTGCCACACACTAATCTTTTAAACTGCTACATGCTAATCGTTTAAACTATGACATGCTAATCTTGTAAACTACCACACGCTAATGTTTTAAACTGCCGCATGCTAATATTGTAAACTACCAACGTTAATCTTTTTTACTCGCACACGCCAATCATTTTAATCATTTGTCAGCACGTATCATAGCTTTTTCGATGTGTTTGACTATCTTGAATATGTATAAAACATACGTAGACTATACGTTTTTTGTGTGTAATTTTAATCTTGTTTATTACAAAATAGGACAACTAGGATATTTTTAATTCGAGATGTACTTTTTAAGCCACTACCCATTAAAATGAGATTTCTCACTTCATACCGGGGGGGGGGGGGGGGGGGGGGGTGGTGGTCAACCCTATGCTCAACCTCCTTATTTTCCCTAACGTAAGTCAGGTATTCATCAGGGCTGGATAGACTCAGGGATGTTCTACATGCTCAAACCTGAGATTCGCACTCAGTTCTTTCGGTTGAACAGTCGTGAGCTCTACTAACCTACAACGCTGTATCCCTAAGGCACATTAGGTCAACTTTATATTTGACACGTACACGTTACACATCAGGTAAATGAATGACGTTTTTTGAAAGAATGAGCTTTAGCTGGGTTGGGTAATGAAGTAAAAAAAAAAATTATAAATTCAACTCATAGAATCGGTCAATAAATTACAAATTTCGTCTACTAAGGGAATTAACTGTGTATTTTTTTTAATAGACAGGAATTTTCTGTGTTATGTGCCCTTTGACCAGAAAAATTAAGTGGTCTTTGGTGAACAATGATTATTTCATCGGCAAACGCAATCAGGGGAATGTACTACAAACAAGCCATAAAAGCTTGGCAAACAGAGTTGCCCCGGAGAGTGGCGCGGTGGGACGGCTGTGTGCATGAAACGAGGCGGGCCCGAGGTTATGAGCTAACATTGAGCTGGGTGCCAGACACACAAGCTAGCAGACTCGCTGATAATGGAAGAATCAGGAGATGAGAAGAGAAAAAAAAAACAACAACGAAACAAATATTGTGGGGATCATTATTTTTTTGATGAAATCAATGCGAGGTTGTTCTACATCAATTTATTATACAGCCCAATCAGTGGCGTAGCGAGGTCGGGTGTCACCCGGTGCGGCACTTAATGGTGTCACCCCCCCCCCCCCCCCAGAGTCGTAGCGACCCTTCCCGGGGACAAACTTGCAAATTTTCGATTTGCACCCCCCCCCCCCTCAAACTTTCGATTTGCACCCCCCCTCCCTCAAACTTTTGATTTGCACCATCCCCCAAGTTTTCGATTTGCACCCCCCCCCCCTTAAGTTTTTCTCTATATATTTTCCTATTTTTTGCCTTGGTGTCACCCCCCTAAATGGTGTCACCCGGTGCGGTCCGCACCCCCGCCCCCCCCCCCCCCCCCCTCGCTACGCCCCTGAGCCCAATGTTTTAATACCCCCTCCCCTGCCCGTGTCTTTCTCGGATTCCATTTTTATAATGTGCAAGTGACATGCGCACGTGCTATACGAACACGGCCACTCACACTTAACAATTTGGTATTGGACGTCTGCTTTCATTAAATCTGGCAAGTGATCGTCTGCTGTAAGGTAGACCTTCCCCGTCTCCCCCTTCACACCACCCTCCACCCCCGTCTGTCTGTTAACAGAGACAGACGGCGCGTGATTTGGATGAGTCACTACTGCAGCATCTATTGGACAATAACTTGCCTTCTTGTAAGCTATGTCTACATTAGAGAGCTCGTGCTATCGTCGATTTTATCATTTCCGTATGTAATATCTTCTATTATTTAAGTGTTAGTTATCTAATTTCCATATGTAATATCCAGGGGCGGAACTACCATACCGCCAGACCCCGCAATGCGGGGGGGGGGGGGGGGGGGGGGGCAGGACGTTTAGGGACCCAGTTCCGACCAAAAAACAATGAATTTTGTTTTTTTCAAAAATTATGTTTTTCATGCATCTTGAAAGTGGTTTTGTAAAAAAAAAAACAGGTCTACTATAGCAAAGATTGTTGCGTAGAAAAATATTTTAAAATCTACAAGA